GAAATGCATCCTTCCTTCTAGGAATTATTGTCCCTACTTCAGCAGAAGCAGGGAGGGCAAGTAAGAACTCAAATTGAACAGTTTCCTCCAATGTTCTTAGGCAGCTGAAGGCTGAGAATGCTGCTCCTGAGGCAGTGCTCTGGTGGATGGGCTTTGGTGTCTGTTCCACGAGTGTGATTTGGAAATGCTACAGTCTGGTCACAGGGGGTTGCAGAGTTCTGGGGTCTGAACCCTTCCCCTCCAGCTGGGGGTCCTGTCCATGGGATGAGAGAGGTGCAGGGCAGCTGAGACCATTTGTCTCATTTTCACATTGGAGATCCAAAGAGGAAACCTTTTACCTGTCAGGTTATTGCAAAGGGTGGTCAGGCAAGAGAGAGGCTACCCAGAGAGGTTTGGAATTCCCATCCCTGGGAGTGTCCAAGGCATATCTGGATATGGGACTCAGTGCTCTGGGCTGGGTGACAAGGTGGGGATCAATCACAGGCTGGACTTGATCTTGGAGATCTTTACCAAGCTGAATGAATCTGTGAAGAGATGAGCTGGCCCTGGGGAGGAGGTGCCATCCAAGGTGCTGTGAGAGCAGTGGTGCTCTGGCTGCAGCCTCCTGTTCACTCAGGCTGTGTTGGCAGCAGCAGGTGTGAGCAGCAGTGGATCTCTGCCCGTGTTCTTTGTCTGCAGGAGCCCTGCCCGTGTCTCTGCTGAGTTTACCCTGATAACTTCCTGCTATTTTCCATCCTTCCTAATTCCCTACTTCTCTGAGCTGTGTGTGTCTCTGGAAAGCAGTTCTGCTGTCAGTGCTTCAGCAAGTGCTGTCTGGGAAGAGGCATCCCTGGACTCCAGGGTTTTAGACCAGCCACGTGGCCTGACTTTGACTTCTAGTTCTTTTTCATGGAAGTAAGGCTTTGTCATGTGTATTGTAAATAAAATGGGTATTCTTCAGATGGGGTTATGATAGTATAATTTATCTGTCTGCTGCTTTCTCCAGTTCATTTAAGTCAGGAAGTGTGTAAAGTATTAAAGAAAATAGTCATTTGGATCAGGCCAGGCATGTGGGCTCACAGTGAGGTGTTTGAGGCTGCAGAAAAGCTGGTGAACACTTTTTGATATGGGTGTTGCTATTAGAAAACAAAAATGTTACAGTTATAAAACACCAGCATATAGAGTAAGTCTGTGCACATCAGCAGATCTAAATTTGGTTTACCTGCTCCCACTTTCTCTGGTGTCAAAGAAATGTTGCTTTGGGAGGCCTAGGGAGTGCTGAGCTGGACTGGATAAGCCTGAGGATGCTTTTCATTGTAAGGCCATGGTGTTCCCTAGTTGTATCCCTGAAGGAATAGAGTGGTTTTGCCAGAAATTTAAGTATTTTTCAGCTCACTTGGCTTTGTCTTTGTGACATGACAGTTTGTCGTGTTGGAACTCGTTAATTGTTTGAGCAGCCATGGAGCCCTTGAACTTTTTCTCCATTTCTGGAAAAGTTTACAGTATCCTGGGCTGTGTGTAATGGAGTTACGGTGGTACAAAGAGTTCTTTGGTGAGGCAGGAATTTCAGGATATTTAGCCACATACTTCAGGCCACGGGCATTGGAAGAGAGAGAAATAATGGTGGTGGTTGCCGAAGCTGACCTGGCTCCCTGGGGATCTTGTGCCAGATGATGGTGCCAGCCTGTGTGACAGCCACTGGTGGCAGTGGGGCTGTGCCAGTGCCCCTTGAGCTGCCCCTATGGTGTCCATGAGGGACAGACCTGGGAACAAGGCTTAAACTGCTCTGTGGGATTCTGCAGTGAGTCTCAAGATGAGGAAGTTGTTAAATTTGGCCCTAGCAGCTCATCAGGTCTTTGTTCCCGCTGGTGCCAGGACAAACCAGTGTCTGGGAAGGAGCTGGTGCCATTTTGTTTCCGGATCACAAGCTGGCTGTGTGGATCTGGAGTCTCCTACCGTAAAGGAAACATCCTTCTCCTCTTCACAAAAAAACTGTGTTAGGAGAGCCTGAGCGTTGGGGGAGTCACTGCTGGGAGCTCGGAGAAGTGAAGAGTTCCTGCTTAATTTAGCTTTATCATGTCAGAGCTATGAATAGTGAAATCACGGGATCACATTTCATGCCAGCTGGGAATGGTGTTTGCGCTGCCCCACTCCATGGTAACCGGAAGCTGCCAGGCCATTAAAAAAAAAATGAAGCTAATGGCACACAGAGGTGGCACCCGGCTTCACTGGGAATTGTTTCCCACCCAAGGAGGGGTTTTCTGTCCATGCCCTTGCTCCTGTCACACGTGAACACAGCTTATGCCTCTCTGGTGCCCAAGAGTGAGGCCTGTGCACAGCCCTGCTCACGGCTCCAGTGATCCCAGAGCACTGCTCACAATTTCACCTCCACATTCGTCACCCGGCCATTTTTAGCCTGCCATGATTTACAGGGTAAGGTGGGTGTGCAAACCCCAAAGAGCCCCTGCTGGGACTGCAGGGTGCAGAGCTGGCTCGGCCAGGCACTGCTGCTGCTGCCTTTGGATGAGTGAAAACTGCAGAGGAGAGCAGGGCAAAGAGCCCCCGGGAGTGTCTGCTCTGGGAGCACTAAAAGGTGATGGGGGACTGTGGGGTGTCAGGCTGGAATTCAGTCCTCCAGGGATGAGGCTCAGCATTAATGATGTTAACTAACCTGTGCCTTAATGGGGACTGGACATGTGATACCAGGTAGCGTTGTGTACATCGTAATTTACACCTGGAATAATTATTGTAATTGTTCCTGTGGGGCTGTGTGTGAGGTTCGTTTCCTGAGTTAAGACCTGTGTGTGCACTGTCTGATTAGATGAGGTTATTTTAGTGGCTTTTTTTTTACTGGGAAACGATGCTGAGATGAATGGCTGAAATCAGATTCCTTTCCTGTGCTGCTAAAATAAGAGGATTTGCCAGTGTCTGGTTTGGTTTAAATTTATTTCTCCCTTTTTTACTTAGGTGAATCGCTTCTAAAGAAGCAGTGTTTAGAACCAGATTTGATGGGACACTTGTACAAGGTATGTGAACACAGCACGGAAAATTGTTTAAATGAAATGAGCTTATTCCATATGTGTGGGATTCCTGTGGACAGGCATTTCCCTCTGTTTTGAAGTCTGACAGAGTGTAGGGATGATCTGGTCTGGTGCCTTGTCCTTACAATAATGCCACATTAAAAAAAAAAAAAAAATAAAGAACTTTAAATGTTATACCAGGCCGTGGAAATCCTTTTTCTTGTTTTCCCATGAGGTAGTGGAATTCCAGTTAAGGTAGAGATAGATGAAGTGCTGGCTTGAGAATATGTGAGTAGGTTTGCTTTTTTCAGCTTTTAAATGAAATTTGCTGGTTTTTCATAGGTTAAATGCGTGGAGAGTTGTAATCCCTCAGGAGATTCTGTTTTGGCTGTAACTGTACTGTGTATTGCAGCAGAAATTCCGAAGAGCCCCCAATCAAACGGTTTTTCTGTTACTTGCTGTTTATTTGGAAGCAGAACTTCCACGTTTCTAAGCGTGTGTGAAGGCTGCTGGGCTCCAGCTGGCAGACACCTGAGAGGGTGGAAATGTCCTCAAGTTCATCCTCCCTTTGCTGAGAACTTCACTTACACACAAGTTTGAATTCTTTGAGTTAACTGATTCGTGAATAGTTCTCTTAAGGAAAGCAAATCGGACCATTTCTTGCTGCTTGTGGGGGTTTCAAAACTCCAGGTATGGATTCCCAGCCCCCAGCAGTGTTGTCAGAGGATCAGTTCCTATCCAAAGCTGCTCAGAGCAGTAGGGCTGTGCTGTGAGAAAGCCATCAATTTGGGGAAAGACCTGATCTTTCTGCTTTTCCCAAGCTGATGTAAAATTTGGAAGGAAAAAGCTGATAAAATAGGTTTTTCTCCTTTTTTTTTAAATTATGGATTTTTTTTTCTGTGTTTAGCAGAAATTCCAGCTGCCTAACTTCTGTTACAAAGACACCCAGACTTATAATCAGCTTTTTCTTGGATTGTTTCCTTGAGCTCCCTGTCACTAAACTGTCTGTGTAACAACATATGACTTTTAAGCTCAAACATTTGTAAAATAGTGTCTCTCAAGTAACCAGTTTCAGAAAAGTCACTGATTGGAGTTTGTAGCTGGTCAAATTATTTGGAAAGGGATTGTTCAGCACTACAATCTGCAGAATCAGTCCTTTCCAGAGGAACCTGTAAATATTCTTCTAATATCTTCCAACCATTTCATAGAACCTGTTTCTAATTATCTGAACCCAGGACTGGAGCTCAGGGTTAAACTTCTTTAGGGATTAGTTTATTGATGTGAAAACCCAAATGTGCTTGAAGGAAAATCTTAATTTTGAAAGCACATAGAGTAGAGAGAAATTGAAACTGCTGCTGACAAATCTGTGTTTCTCTTGCTGTGGCAGAATAATTCTGGCTGGTTTCCCCCAAGTGTGTTTAGCACATGTTAGAGTAGAACACTCTGTTTTGTGGTTGGATTTTTGGTCATTTTTTTTAGCAATGTTGTCTGGGACATTTTTTGCTGTGGAGGTTGGTAGGTGTAGTTGTAGCTCTAGTTAATGTGTGTCATAAGTCTTCTGAAAGCACACTGGCATTGGATCTGGGAAGAGAAGTAATTCTGCTTTTTGTTCCCCCAATGAAATTTGATTAGAATTAACATTTTAATTTGCTCCTCCCTGGCTGGCAGTACAGGTCGGTCTTGCCTTTCCTTCAAAAATTCCGTTAGTATCAAGAGCATACTTAAGGTTTGGTCTTGCACCAAAAATTAGCTTGAAAAGGAAGAATCCAGTAGAAAGGAGGTGTTAAGAGCTGGGTTCTGAGCTAACAAGGATGAATGAGTCTGCTCTCTGCACTTGCTGCTGCACTTCAGGGACGTGGTGAGAGCTGCCACTCTTTATAAGATTATTTTTGCAGTGATATTTGTTGCCTCATTACACAGAGCACACTTTGTAAGGTGTTTTGTGGGATTATTTCTTTTTTTCAGAACGAACTAATCTTGTTTGGGTTTTGGGGTTTGGGATTAGGAACTGTAGAGCTGGCAGAAGGAGAATTAATTTTTTTTCTTCCCTGATAATGAAGGGTGTTGAGCAAATGAAGGAGCAGTTCAGCTGTTCCTCCCGAGCTGAATGTCTGTGCTGGTGACACCAAATGGATGCCAAGAGGCTCGGGCAGAAATCTGCTCTCTAATGAGGTGCCACCTCATTTGCTTTGGGCCTCACAGCAAAATAAACCACAACAGCTTTACTCAAATGCTGGCCACTAAAAAGCAAATTTTTGTTTTCCTACCCCACTTCTAGAGAGCTTTCTACAAAAGCTTTTACAAAGCATTTAATATTTATGAGCTGAGTGTTTGCAAACACCGTGTTATAAATGAAAACCACCGTAAGGAATTTCACTACACCGTGCTTGTGTCTGAGGCATGTACACAAGCTGTGTGACTTGTTTCCAGGTGTTTTGGGGTTCATGCTCAGCTATGAACACAAGCAGCTGCCTTGGCAGGGAGCTGTGTGCTGCATTTCCCTCTCCAGGCTGGCCAGCTGTAGTGCTCCGTGTGAGGATCCTCACTGACACCTGGGCATGGAGTGGGCTCAGCTGGAGCTTGTGCCAGCTGGCTGCTCTGGGCAGGGCTGCTCTGCAGCAGCTGGGGCAGGGCTGAAATCCCAGTGCGTGCTGCCTGAAAGACCTCGAACAAAGGACTGGAAAATGGAAAGAGTCACAAAGTAACACAGGCCAGTTGGAAACAGGGAACAAATTCCTGAAAAAAAGCTTTTTGACAACCAGCAATGTTTTTAATTTGACCCATGACTTGGCACATGGAAATGTTCTTTACAGTGTCCTGGAATAAGAAACTCCTGGACTATGATTTGCACTGTAGCAGAGAGCGTTGAGCATATTTCCCAATTTTCTTTTACTATCTGGAAGAAAGGTTTGTTACTTCTGCCTGTTGTGTGTTGACTATAGTAGTTCTCTAAACACAAGGATAGTATTTTTCTCCAAAGGAGAATCCAGGTTTTGGTCTGGATGACACCTCTGGGTGTGCGATTGTAGCAAAACTTAGTGGTAACAGTAGTGTTTGGGAAATAGGCAAAAAACCCCCAAAGCCCCAGTCTTCTGTCACAAAGCAAGAAATAATGGGTATGGCAAACTCTTTCTGTCACTGTGAAAGGCTGAAAGTCAAAGGTGTTAGTAAGATAAAAGTTGAGATTTCTTTTTAGGGACATTTAGACTGAGGGACAAGACAACAGCAAAAATAATAAAAGAGGTCTGTAGCATGTTGTTCTTTGTGGCTTTTTCCCAAGATTGGTAAGCAGGATTTAAAAATCACTAAACTTTGCAACACCACCTTATCTCTTGGGTGAGAGAAGGACTTAATCACTGGTTCAGAGAGAGGTTTCAAGGCTACTTGAAAACTGTACTTTTTCAGTGAAGTAAGGACAAGAAATTAATAGCTTTAAACAAGTCTATTTTATGGCTGAACACAGAGTAAGTGACATTCTTGCTGTTAGAGCAGAGGTTTAATAACATGGAGCAATTTCTGAGGTTGTGTTTACTGTTGTTTTCTCTTCTAAAACCTCCACCCCTCCAGCAGTGCATGGAAGGATTCTGAAATGTAACTGTAGACCTGTCAGAAAAGCTCCCAGTGGACTGGTGGCTCCCTTGGATGACGGCGATATGCTGATGGATGAATTGTCAGGAAAAGAATTGTTTCTGTTGGCTTGTGGATTCCTTTAACAATATGGGAAAATCCTTAGTCCTGAGCCCAGTAAGACCATTCAAATGAGCTGAGAGAAATGACTCCAGCACGGCTGTACAGGTGCACTGACAGATGTGTGTCACAGCAGGTGGGATGGGGCAGGGGAGGTGGAGTGAGGAAGGAAGAAGACTTAAAATTTTGAAAGCATGAACGATGATGTTAAAACCTACATTTTCCATAAAAGTCCATGAAAAAATTCCTGGTCAGCTGTGGTGTGTGTGCTCTCTGAAACATTGGGGATCTGATGAAACTTTTGGGTGCAGCAGGAGCTTAGGGCAGCCAGTTCACCTCTGGTGGCAGTACAGCAATGCATGTACAAATTTATTTCTTCTCATTTCAGGTTTTCTTCCTGATTTCCTAATTGACAAAGCTGAGACGGTGAAATCTGACAGAAGGGTGCAAGGTGTGGCCTGCTCAAGCAGGTAGGCACAGCAAAAACTCATGAGAGGTAAAACTGCCTGTCTTGGGATTTGTAATAGACCTTTGTATATCCCTTCTCTTCTGGGCATGCTACCAGTTGGACTGATGGTAAAATTCTGCTTTCATTGGTAATGCTGCTGTGCAAAAAATGTGGAGCAGCTTTAGAAGAAAAAAATCAGCCTTGTGTCTTGGAATGTTTGGGCTTGTCTTCCCAAGTAACTGCAAAATATAAGGGTAAAGTAGAACAATTTAGTTAAAAAATCCTGGAAGAAGTATTTACAAACCTATTCTTTTTTTTTTTTTAATGCTATATTGACTAATCTTTAGATTTATGCCCTGGTGATTTTTGGAAGAAGAGCACTGCTTCCCCCAGATACCATAACTGGCCAGATTATTAAATGTCACACTGATCTAACTGTTTAAAACTGTTATGTGCCCTCCTCCGGCTTTTGTTCTTTGCTTGAGCATTGCAGTGGTTTCAGTCAGTGGCCTTAAAAGTTTTCCTTCAGTATTGTGAGCATTTAAATTCCAGAAGCTCTGGAAGCTCATGGAAGTGCACAGCTGTGAGAGACTCTCAATGGTGACCTTTTTTCATTGCTGTGGAGCAATGAGGGGAGCAGAGTTGTGCTTCTCTTTTGGGTTCTGTCAGGAGGTAAAACATTAACTTTCCTGCCACTGTTTCCTGACAATAGTTTGCCTTGCGGGCAAAGTCCATTGTGGTGCTTTAGTGGAAGCATTTGCTCCTCTATTGTTTCCATCGGTGGTCTGCTGGATTGCCCTGAGGATTTGGGAATGGAGAAGGCAAAGTTTGCTCTATGCAATGGTTTTATGACAGATGAACAAACTGTCAGGTGTCAACTTCTAAACTCAGCACACAGATCCCATCCAAAAATCCATGTTTTTAGATGGGAGACTACACTCCTTGGGAAATCTGCTGGCCTGCAGAAGAAACAAACCAAAAAACAAAAGCTGTAAAGTCCCTGGCAGCGCTTCCATCAGGACATGCCCTCTAGATGAGTGTAGTCACACTGCCCTGCTGGGAGAGGTCTGGATCAGGCAGCAGCATCAGCCTTGTCCCTTCCCAGGTGCAGGAGGGGCCGGTGTTGGGGCATTCTGTAGCTCTAGGAAGGAAGTGGGACTCTGGCAGGGCACATTAAGGACGAGTCCTCATAGCACTGTGCAAATGCTTCTGCTTGCAGTCCCTGCTCAGGGCCAGACCCAGCATCTCCAGGAGCTGTGTGCTCTAGGCACAGCTCTAGGGGAAAAATAGGAATTGCAGGGGAGAAATGGGAGGTCAGCAGGCGCTGCTGTTCTCAGTTTGCCTTTGCTTCACTTACAGGCGCCTCTTTATTTAAAAAATATAAAATCCTTTTTATAAGATCAGATGCTTTCAGAGCAGGGTATTTTTCTGAACATATTTTATCTGAGTCAGTTATTCTTAAAACTAAATGTGTATCACAGTAAGTTTACAACTGCAGTTAACTCAGGGGAGCTGACGTGACTCCAGTGTACAGTTTGTTTAACCTTTTGAGTGCTGATAGAGCATAGCAACTCTGTTTCTATCCTAGTAGGGGTTACTTCATATGTTAGGAATGAATCAACTTTGAAATGTTGGCAGAGATAAAATATCCAAGATGTGAGTGTTTGGCACACATTGCACACACCAGGGTGGTTTGGCTGGGAAGTGCTGTAGATCAAAGTGAAAGGCAAAAACTATTAAACAGATCAAAGTGGTATTTTTAAAATCTATTTTGGGGTCTTCTTGGGATTTCCTGAGAGTTGGTGTCACATCTTCTTCTTGCAATAGTTCCTGTTACCATTTCTTTCTTTTCTTCCATGTTTTGGTTTCCAGTGCTCAGCGTTGGATTATTGTGGGCAACAGAGTAGGAAGTGTTGCAGGAAGTGGTTCAACAGACATATCCAGTGAATTAAAAGGAAATACTTAAAAATTATCCTTTCACACATTCTTTCCCTTAAAAATGACCAAGCACAAGAACAAACCTTTGTTCTCAGAGGCAGTATCTTTTGATTTTCATCCCTGGGGCAACAGGAAATAAAACATTTATTGTTTCCTGATAGAACAAGAACAACAATTTTATTATTTTTTCTGCATTCTTTCTGATGGGGAATATATTCAAACACTTCAGTTGAATTGATCTAACATCTTTAGTATAGTTAAAGGGAAGAACAGAGATATATAACTTTTGGGTTTTTTTAAAATAAAAGCCAACTTCCCATTTCTAGAAAGTCCCAGCTCTGGTGATGAACCACCACCCACTCTTCCAGCAACTGCTCCTGTGCTGGGCATTGTGTTTTTCCTGGAAGTGCCCTGGCAGAAGTTGAAGCCTTTAGTAACCATATATGTAATTTTGGAGAGCCACTGGAAGTGAAGGCATTGCAAGTCAGTCCTCTGGAATTTCCTTAAAATGGATATAACAGCAGCAGCCGCACTTGATCAGTTGTGTTTATGTACCTGAATGTCTCTATTTTTATTCAGTGGGTAAAAAAAAAAAGATGAAGTTTGTACTGACATAGTTCCTTTTGCTTTCTGGCTTTTTCTCGTTAGTCATTTTAGGTGGGAAGTTTGTTTAAAACTTATCAAATATGCAATTAATGCAAATTTCACTCATTAGTAAAAGAGAACAGATCAGGGAGGGTGTAACTGAAATATTTGTGTGGTCAGACTATTCCCTGAATCATCTTCTAAGGGACTTTCTAACCTTTACCTGGATACATGCCTGAAAATAACCCAGGTGATTCATAATAATGGCTATTTTGAGTCATTTAGCACTACAGTGTAATCTCTTCTGTCTCTGAATATTTGGAAGGACATCTGATTTATTTTGGCTGCAACGGGACTCCTGGCTGGGTGCTCCACACTGGTGACTGATCACAGCAACTGCAGGAACTGCACAAGCAGAGAGGACAGGATTGAACCTGAGCAGAGCTGTGCAAATAGGGTCACATTCCTGTGTCTTGGAGTATCAACTCTTTTTTGCTTGCCTCTGAAAGTTTAGTTAAAAGTTTGTGGGGGGAGTGTTTTGATGGTAAGCTTTTTTATTTCTTCCCTGTCCTTTAAAGCAGTGGCAGCTGGCTGCACAGACAGGGATGTGGCTGCAATTACATGGAATTTTCATTTCCACGGGCTAGTTTGCTTCTGGAGGTGTCCTTGCCTCAGCCAGCCGTGTGGCCCTGCCCCTTCCCAGGTTTGCACTAACTTGGTGCTTTCAACTGTCACACTCTCACTTGTGATTACTCTGCGTTTAGAGCCTTTTATTCATTTTGCAGTTTTTCTTTTTAGACTGAAATAAACCTTCTATTCTGAGCCCAGCACCATTCATCTGTTCCTAGCAGGCACTTCAAACATTCCTATTTCCAGCCTTATCAAGCCCCACGTCCCTGGAATCTGTCAGCCTGCCAGGTGCTGCCTGTCCTCTCCTATCAACCACATGCTTCATTTCTCAAATACTTCTCTTTCCTTGTTTCCCTCAGGTGCACTGACAGGTGCTTGCAAAGATGTCTAAAACAAACAAATCCAAGTCTGGATCCCGTTCCTCCCGCTCGAGGTCTGGATCGAGGTCCCGCTCCCGTTCCTTCTCCAAGTCCCGCTCCCGTTCCCGCTCCATCTCCCGGTCAAGGAAGCGCAGGCTGAGGTGAGTGTGTGCAGCCAGAGGGTGGAATGAGGCTTTTCCTCCCTTGCAGGTGGTTTGTCACTTAGCTCCTTCCCAGGGAAAGACTTGGATTAGATCCCAGGACAGATAACATCCTGCGTCTCACGTTGTTTGCTGCCAACCTGTGCTGTTTGGGTGTTTTCAGTCACTTAGGAGAGTAGATTGTGAATAAAGAAATAAATAAATTAGGAGAGTAAGACGTGTGTCAGCACAGTCAAGATCTTCCTTTTGAGGCTTTGGCTTTTTAAAGGAGGCTTTAATGTAATGGATCCCAGACTCGAGGGATCTTTGCAGATGTCGTGTGCTTTTCCTGTCTTGAGAAGTGAGTTTAGTTCAATTTTAGACGTTTCTGTGAAAGGTGGGGACAATTCTTGATATTCCCTTGTCCCTCCCCTCAGCACGCAGGAGCATGCAGGAGAGGATCCTCCTGGAGGGATCAAGTGGATAAAAGATAATTTTGCTGCAGTTAGTTTTAAGAAATGGTTAATATCTGTAATAGTTGTTCCTGTCTCCCTGAGTTGCTTCTGAGGAGGCCAGTTACAGGCTTGTGTCTTCCCTGGATATCAGTTTTTTCCTTTTCTCTTGGCCAAGCATTCTGCATCTGGCAAAGCCATTCCAGTTGGATGGGGTGTAATGGTGTTCTCCTGCCTTTTCACTCATATGAATAACACGTATTCTGAAAACCACCGGGCTGTGAACACATGCAAGTGTTACCAGTTAGAGATTTTAAAAATACAGAAGCTCTAATGAATGTACAGTTGGAGAAAGAAGGACATGACAAAACTGAATTAGAGGCGGAGACTTGAGTCCAACTGAGCCCTTTGCAGAAGGAAGCTGGAGTGCTGGAAGATCCGTGCTCATTTGGGAATTCTCCTAGCTCTGAAGGAGCTTTGGCAGTTGAGAAAAAGGCACCCTGTGCAAACATGATTGTTCCCTCTGTGCTGCTGCTGAAGCTACTTTTACTTTATAAATAACTCCTTTTTTAAAAAAAAAAAAAAGAAGTCCAAATGGAGGGGGTCAGCCCAGCCCAGTCCCCCTGCCTGGCCACGGGATGTGCTCCAAGGTAGGTCTGGTGGGATCTCAGCATAAAAGGCAGTTGCTGTGTGCTTCAGGATGCACCACAAATTGTTTTCTTCTTCTTTTGGTAGGTTTGCTGTTTTTTTCTAAATTATAGTGCTGTGTTGGAGTCTGCCTAACATCTTCTGCTTTCTTTATGACTTTATTTCTCACTTCTTGTAAATAGTGGGGATTTAGCCCTGGAGCAGTGTAGTGCCAAAAGTTCTGAGGGCTGGCAGAGTTGGGGGAATTAGCACTTTTGGTGTTTCTTTTACTGTATAACTTTTACTGTATTTTTCGAAAAAGATTTCTGGTAAATAGTCTCTGCAACTTTTGGAGTGAAATCTTCCTGCTGCAGCCTCTCAAAGCACTAGAACAGATTCTGGAAGTAGTGTATGACAGGTCCTTGCTGATAATTGATTACAGATGCAGCAATTGTCTGAAAATTGAGCGTCTGTGTTCCTCATGCCTTGGACTAGAGCTTGTTATAACTGGTCCTTGCCTTCTGCCTCTACTTTTTTCTTCTGGTTGCTGTTGTTTGAATAAAGAAGTGTCTCAGATAAGTTTTTTTGGTAGTTTGAAGGATTGAAAAATGAGTTAAAATGGTCATTAAACTGTTGGTTAGCAATGATTGGAGTATGAATAAGAGTTTCCTGCTAAACTGTGACCTGTTTGGTAGGAGGAAGAAATTAAAACAGAACTAAAGTTCATATCTAATTGCACATGTGCATAGCCATGTAGGAATTCCAACAGCATGTTGTTCTCCCTTGGTTCTGGGGGTTTGAGATGTGAGAGGCGAGGAGCAGCACTGAGATCTGTGTGAGGAAGTTCGTTCCATTGGAGTACGACCAACGTGTGTGTCAGAGCCAGAGCCTGGAATGCGAGAAAGGGCTGTGCAAAGTGTTCCAATCGACGTTATTTACTGAAATTCCATTTGGAAAAATCTCTTTTCTGTTTCATCTTCCTAGTTTGGTCAGTCCTTCCTGTAGCTCTGGCATCTGAGCTACAGTGGGACCTTTAAACAGTTACACAACCGCAGCAATTTAATGGGAGAGACTGTTGAGACAATTAGCCGCTGGAATCTGCGTTTTTCCAGGATTTGTGCGTTCCTGGGTTCGGTTTTTGTGGATGCGAGTGGGGATGTCCACAGCGGCGCCTGGTGGCGCCTGGCAGAGGTGCCCGAGTGCTGTCCCTGCCCGAGAGCTGCGTGGAATTGTGCCCTGGGATTGTGCCGTGGGATGCACCTTTGTGAGCTTAAACCCATAGGGCAGCGTGTCCTTCGCCCCACTGCTGCCCTGCTGCCGTTGGGGTGTAGCCTTTTATTCAAATTGCCTGACAGAGAAGTGAAGTTTCATCTAGATTATCAAAATCTTAAAGTGCATCTGAAGCTGGGACCAGAGAGGGAGATCTGGGGTCTGTTCCAATAACAGTAGCGTGATTTGCATAAAAAACACTTTTTTGTGGGTGAGGTATAACCGTGACCTTGGGCTGTTAAGGGCTGGATGCTTGAGATCTGCCACTTTTTCTGAAGCTGGATAGCAGCCACTTTCATCCCAGCAAAACAGAGAGCAGTGTGTGCTTATCATCTCAGCAATGATCCTGAAATCAAATATTTGACAGTATCACAGGTAAAAGTTATTTCCACTGCAGTTTATTCATGGCAAAGTGTGAATCAGATAAGGGTAAACCAAAGGAATCTCTTTTAAAAGCTTAGAAATGAGTTTTTCAATGTATTTTTAAAATAAGTCTTCAAATATGACGTCGTGGCAGAAGAATAAACTCTAAAAATAAATTATAAAAAGAAACTATAACAAAAAATATTTGTGTAATTTGTATTTTATCAGTTCTAGGTCTCGTTCAAGATCCTATTCTCCATCTCACAACAGAGAAAGGAACCATCCTAGAGTCTATCAGAACCGGGATTTCAGAGGCCATAACAGAGGATACCGGAGACCGTATTATTTCCGTGGCCGAAACCGAGGGTTTTATCCCTGGGGCCAGTACAACCGAGGAGGGTATGGGAATTACAGGTCCAACTGGCAAAACTACCGCCAGGCCTACAGCCCCCGCAGGGGCAGGTCACGCTCCCGCTCGCCCAAGAGAAGATCTCCTTCCCCACGGTCCAGAAGTCATTCCAGGAATTCTGATAAATCATCTTCCGACCGCTCGAGGAGATCTTCCTCTTCCCGCTCCTCCTCCAATCATAGTCGGGTGGAGTCTTCCAAGCGTAAATCCGGGAAGGAGAAGAAATCATCCTCCAAGGATGCGCGGGCATCCCAGGCTGCGGGAGATAACCAAGGAGACGAGTCCAAGGAGCAGCAGTTTCCAGGAGCGGGGGCTCAAGACGCCAAGGCGTCCGAGGGATCAAAACCGTGGCAAGATGTGAGCAGCTATGGCACGGGCTCCACATCCAGAGGGTCGGAGCTGAGCCCCCGGGAGCGCAGCCCTGCCCTCAAGAGCCCGCTGCAGTCGGTCGTGGTGCGGCGGCGCTCGCCCCGGCCCAGCCCCGTGCAGAAGCCGAGCCCGCCCCGCTCCAGCCCGTCCCCGATGGGCTCTGCTGCCCAGAGCGGCTCCAGCTCCTTCCAGGGAGGCTCCCACCAGAGCCCCTTTGAGCACGGCTCGGCAGGAATGAGCCCCACCAGAAAGAGCCCGGTGTGCAAAAGCCCCACACCCGTCAGTTCGCTGTATGGTGCCGCTCCGAAGGAGGAGGGCACAGCTCCCGGAGGAGGAGCCTTCTCCAAGAGGCAAGTGATGAGTTTTGTGGTGCTGGGTTATTGATTGGGTTGCTTTTGAGGAGGGAGCTGCACATGTGAGAGCTCCCTGTGAGCAGGGCAAGGGGCTGGGGCAGGCTTCAGCTGGGAAGCTGTTCCAGCACACTGCCAGCTCTGGGCCTGGTCCTTTCTGAATTATGGGAAAAAACACAGCCCAGAGTTATAGGAAGTTGGAATTGGTTTTCCAACTTGGATAGTTCTAAATATTGTATATATTCCCTGCAAAAATGTTCATAGCCCATGAACACTTGAAGATTTCCCAGAGAGGTTTCTTGGCAGCTGGAAGCTCACATTTTCCAGTACATATGTGTTGTTTATAGACATTTTTAGTGTTGCCTTCTGGAATTGTTAGATATTGTAAATTAGAAGAAATTAATTAAATCCTAGTGCATATCCTGCTGCAAGCAGCCCAAGGCAGGTGCAGCTGCAGTGTTGGTGCCTGTGTGTGTGGGTAGGATGAGAAGCTAAAGCACCAAATACATCTCTAAAATGAAGACAGCCTTCCGTGCAGAAGGCATCTGCTTCCATCATTCTCTTGATTAGTCCACTGCAGATTGTGCCCAAAGGTGACACTTTGTTTCAAAAGACAAAAAAAAAGTGTGAAAGCACATTCACAAAGTGCTTTCAAGTCTTTATTGTTTTTAAAAGTAGTTTGGTCTGATTCTATATTAAGGGAAATTTAAAAAGGGAAAAACTCCTGTGACTCTTTGTTTGGGCTTTCCAAAGCACTGAGCTGGTGTCTGTGGGCTTTCCTGCTGTCCCACAGAGCCAGGGTTTTGATTTGTGAATGCTTTAAAACTGTTCAGATGCTATAAACCAGCTGAATTGTTCTCACCAGAAGTGTTTTATCTCTCCCTGCAGTGTATTCTCCTCTGTTAACCTGTTTGCTTTTATTTGTGTTTGCAGTCTGTCATGAAATATTTAGCTTACCTATGAAACTTGCATCCCAAATTTGAAGTAGCTTTTGAGGCTTTTATTTCCAGTGTGTTGTTTAAAGCAGAACAGCCCAATTTGAAAGGTTTGATGTGTTGTTCTCCTGAACCAGGTTTGTAAGTAAATAAATGGAGTGGGTAAGATGTTCCTCTTTTCCTTCCAATGCATCTGTGGGTCAGCTGGGTTTGATTTGTCCTTGAGCCTCATTCCATCAGTTCTGCATATCCATCTCCTTGTACATTTGCTGAATTTATTGAAAAGAAAAGTCTGAATTCAAGCTGAGTAATCTGCTTGACATTTTAATTATTTTAGGGCCTAGAGGCAGCTTTCAGTACATGCATAGCTTGGTGTTCTCTGAAGTTTGACTCTTTGAACTGAAGAATTGACCTTGTTGAGCTCTAATAAGAAACCTCCTTTAATGTCTGTTTATAATCAGGTATCTGGAAGAGCAGAAGACTGAGAATGGGAAAGACAAAGACCAGAAAGTAACAAATGCTGAGAAAGAAAAAAGTAAAGAAAAAGGGAATTTCTCTGAGTTGGGATCAACAGATGGAAAGGCAAAATCTGACTCATACGGATCGAAAACTGACTCAGAGAAGGGATACCGTGGCAGCCAGTCACCCAAGCGCTACAAGTTCAGGGATGACTTTGACAAGCTCAAGGTCCCAGACTTCCACAAGGAAGGTCATTATGGGAAAGATGAAACAGATGAGCAGGACAAGAAAGACAAAGCCAAGGGCCGGAAAGATTCGGAATTTGATGATGAGCCCAAATTTATGTCTAAAGTCGTTGCGACTTCAAGTAAAAGTCAAGAAGAGGATAGGTCAGGAAAATGGGAAGGTGTGGTGTTCCTGCCACCTGGAAAAGAGAAGCAAAGGAAATCTGATGAAATGGAGGAGGAAAGCTATTCTGAAAGATCCAAAAAAGAAGAGAGATCAGGATCCAAGAGAGCTGAACCTGGTCACAGGGGTTTTGTACCTGAAAAGAATTTTAGAGTGACCACTTACAAATCAAGCCAGGAAAAAAGCTCTTCCCCTCCACCAAGGAAGGCTTCTGAGGTGAAGGAGAAGGCAGGCACCAAAGTAGAGGGGCTAACTCCTGGCAAATCCTCCTTCTCCATTACTCGTGAGGCCCAGGTCAATATTCGAATGGATTCCTTCGATGAGGATCTTGCACGGTAAGGATCTGCCAGCTTTTGAGCAGTCTCAGTTGTGATGTTTTTTCCTGTTTTTCTTCCTGAGATCCCCATGTGCTTGCCAAGTGTGGGGAAGGCTAAGCAATATTGCATCACAATTTGTGGTTTTGGAAGCTAGAGATTAACTTTTTCCTAACCTTTGCTATGACTGGATGTAAGATTAGTTTAGCATGCACCAGGCTCTGGGAAGAGCCCCAGATGGAGTCAGGTACTCACTGGCTTCTGGCTGAGGGAAGCTGAGTTGTGCAGGGGAGCTACTGTGCTGCTTAAATAATTTGATTCTCTGCCATGTGTTTTACTACTCTTATTCTCCATGCAGCATTAGAATAGGGACCTGAATTATCACAGTAATCTGGAGCAGTGTGTTATAGGGATGTTTAAAGGAACTCCTTGCTCATGCTTTTTAGTGTTCGTGGGTGCTTCCCTAAAAACAATATAAACCATCAGTGAGCTCCCAGCTCCTGCAGAATTAGACACCTTAAATTGCTCCTCTTCACCCCATTCTTGTGTTTCATGGGCTCTTCTTTTTCCAGTCCCAGTGGCATATTGGCCCAGGAGCGCAAGCTCTGCCGGGATCTCGTGCACAGCAACAAGAAGGAGCAGGAATTCCGCTCGATTTTCCATCATATCCAGTCGGCTCAGTCCCAGCGAAGCCCTTCTGAACTGTTTGCTCAGCACATAGTGACTATAGTCCATCATGTAAGAGGTGGGTCAGGAGTCCGTGTGTCCTCAGGGAAGGTTCATTCCTCCCTTGCCCAAATAAGTGGGGTTTGTGCACTCAAAATGCCAGGAGTTGTTTTCCAGCAAATATTCCAGAGATGAGAGCAGCAGCATGATCACAATCATCTTTATTAACATAAATACTCTTTTGCACAGGCAGAAGGTGTTCTTGTTTTTACCTGAGAAATATTCAGAGGCTGGGACTTGGAATTTTGTGTTCTGATGAATTTGTGACTTGCTTGAAGAAATTGTGTTCCTTTCACTGGAACACCAAACATTGAAACTGCAGTTTGTCAGCAGCATTAGAGCTCATCTCCACGGTGCTTCACAAGCTGTGGGATGGGAGGGCTTTGTCTTTTTACAAAACTGGCACTAATATTTTGGTGTTGTTTGTTCAAACCCCTGACAGAGCATCATTTTGGGTCTTCAGCAATGACACTGAATGAACGCTTTACCAAATATCTAAAGAAAGGAATGGAACAAGATGCAGCTAAAAACAAAAAGAGCCCTGAAATACACAGGTTGGTGCCATATGACACTGTCTTAACATTGCAGAAGTATTCTAGATTTAATTTCTTAAACTCTGGAATAATGCCAGAATAATTCAAGTATATAACTATCTTCAGCCAAAAAACAAAAACAAAGGAAAAATATGGGAAGTTTTAAATACCTTTGGAAATCTGGTCTGCTTTAAAGGACATTTGATCTAAAATCTTCAGGTTCTTCTTATGAGCAAGGTTATATCTGCTTTTTTTTTTTTTTTTTTTTGCTTTAGGAGGATAGATATATCTCCCAGTACTTTTAGAAAACATGGATTCTCTCAAGAGGAATCGAAAAGTTCCAGAGATCCTGGCTTCAAGGTGAACTGTTACTCTGATTAGTTTAATTCAACAAAATGAGTGCATTGGGCATGAACTTAACAGTGATGTTTTTGTTTAAATTACTCTCTACTTAAGTTTGTGTTTTTCTTTTAAGGATGGGCATAATTCTAAAAATGAACTACAAAGGGTTAATTTTTATTAAAAATGTATCAACAACCTTTGTGAAGTGGTTAGACTATGGTAAATGACCCCAAAGTCAATTGAGGTGAGCTTGAGAAAAAAGAGAGGATTTTTGGAACAAGTGCCCATGATGAGAGAAGAGACTTTTTGTGATATTTTTCTGCTTGTAAGTATGATTAACTCCATTGTTACGTGCAATTTTGCCAACCATGTTTTCAAAGACATGCATGTCAAAAAGAGGAAAGTAAAACTAAATGCTGAGCTAAAGCAGATACACTATTAAGCAGATGATAAATTTTGTTCTAACAACTGACTGTACCATTTCTGTTGATTGCTGTTACTTTAACATTCAGCACTTGTCTTAAATCCAGAGCATTTGGGATTGAGTGTTTTAGCTTTGCTGAGTAGATGAATGTTAAGCCATTGCACTCACTGTAAACAGTCATAAAAAAGGCTTAACGTAAAGTGTTTGAGATTTTAACCTTTGTTTATTCACCTTCATACATATTTACATTGAAGAGATTTTAACCAGTCCTGCTGAAACCTTACTTGTTTCATATTTGTTTTCGATTTTTTCCAAACACACTTGTGGCTTGACATGGACGATGGTGAGATGGATTTGATGGGCCTGAACTCTGAGCATCAGCTTGGCAGAGTGTGTTATAAACGTGGTTTCCAAACAGCTCGCCAGCCTTCCGTGAAACAGACGTGCCCTCCCAAACCCAAATAGGTGTTTGCTGTGCCACATAAGGGAGCTGCTGCCGATTTTGTCACTTATCTGTCATCCATCGTGTTGGGAGCAGTTTTATTCTCAGAGTAGAAATTAAAGCTCTTTGCCTGGGGAAAGTAGAAGAGCAAAATACCAAAACAAAATGCCTGCTCTCACTCCTGCGTTATTTGACATATTTATTTAAACAAAAAAGTGGTTAGAAACTCATGTAAGTAAAAAATTTAACAGCTAGAGAATTACTAATCCTTTTGTATTTAATTGAAGACGATTAATTTGATGTATGTTGCATATCAAGTTGTACAGTTCCCAGGATGAATGTTGTGTAAATGCAGTAGCAATGGCTGAGGCTGGGTGTTGGTACCAACATGGTGTAAAGCTTCCTGCAGCCCTCCTGCTGCCCAGTTACCTGTTTGTCAAACCACAGCCACTGTCACTTTGGGCAGGCAGCAGAATCTCACCCAGATGCCACAGGGCTCAAAGGAGGTGCAGGGAAAACAACTGCTCCTTTCCCAGAGAAACTCCTAATCCCTTCTTGAAGTACCAATTTAAATACAACTCAAAGCAAGCATTACCAGGTGTCTTTTATGCTTGTTTTTAATTAGCAATGTAAATTTAGTTTTAATTTTTCATGCAGCTGGTGGGTTTTTGCTCTCTGAGACACCAGCTTGCTTTAGCAGACTTGGCAGGACTGTGGGAGACACACAGAGTGTGTCTGTGGGGCTTTGTGGCACCTGTCACACAGTGCCCTCCAGCCCAGGGGAAGGAGCTGTAGGTGGCATCTGCACTGAGTAAATCTTCCTCACAGATGTAGTAACACCTCCCTGTCCGTGGGATGTTGACCTTCTCTTAGCCCCTTGGATGCTGCCTTTCCCTGGCCTCCTCCTGCCCCTTCCATCACTAGTCTTGGGTAGCTCCAAGCAGCAAAGAGCTTTTGCTTCTCTCATAGTGTCACTTCTAGACCTGGGGATTAAAATCCCTCTGGCCCCTGCCCAGGTGAGACTGTCAGCAGGACCTCAGGTGCACCCGTGGGCCATCAGAGAGCTCTGCCACACTGTACTTGTGATCCATAATCAGCTGGATGGGATTCCCAAGTTGTTTGCATCCTTGCTGGCTGTGGTGTGCAATAAGTGTCAGCTTCCATGTCTCCCTCCCCTCTACCAGACTGTTTATTTTAATGCTGTTTAAAGAGGAGATTAAAAATTTAAAAAGCAGTGATTTTAAATGTAGGAAAATTGAATTCTGACAAAGGCAGACTTACATTAATAGTGCTTTATTTGACATCTTAAAGTGGAATATTCATTAGTGCTCAGTTAAACTCCAGTTCTCCAGAAGTCTGTGCAGTCAGTAGCAAAGTAAATGGTGCTGAGCTGGGGCACTGCAGACCTTGTGTTCATCTCTGCCCTCCCTCTCCCCTGCGTTTGTAGGCTGAAGGGAAATATAAGGACGACCCTGTTGATCTGCGCCTTGATATTGAACGCCGTAAAAAACATAAGGAAAGAGATCTTAAACGCGATAAATCCAGGGAGTCGGTGGACTCGAGAGATTCAAGTCACTCAAGGGAAAGATCAACTGAGAAAACGGAGAAAAGTCACAAAGGCTCAAAGAAAAAGTATGTAAGAAACCCAGTAGCCATTTTCTTGTGCCTCTCGTGTCTCTGCTGCTCAGGTTGGAGACGACACCGTGTACAACAGTTGTGCACACAGTTGTGCACCTGTGACATAACTCCTCGAGTGGCCTGAGCTACCCCTCTGCGTGTGGTCTCATTGTATCTCTCAGAAACACTAAATAATTGTAAAAGGTACATGGGAAAGCTCCATGTGTCAGGATGGGTGAGTCACTTTTCCTTCTTGTTACTGTTGTGTCAGAGAGAAACAGCCATGTTAAAATGATGTAGCTTTGATGCTTTTTTAATCCCTTTCTATTAGCTTAATTTTTCATTTGACTAAAACTCCGTGAACGCATGCTAAGATGAGAGCTTAGGAAGGAGCAGCAGGTTCCTTCAGAGAGACCTTGGGCCCTGTGTTAAAGCCTGAGCTCTTACTATGGCTTTTCCTCTTGGAGTAGGAAAAGGAGAGCATGGCATTGATGAGTGATAAAGAAGGGGTTTTGTATCAGATGGGTCACAGCTGAGTTCCTAATGCCGTTGTGTCCCATTCCCCTCCGTTTCCCATCACTGGAACAGGAAACACCGACGGGTGCGTGAGAGATCCAGGTCCAGTTCCTCGTCCTCGTGGTCCTCTCATTCAGTCAAAGCAGAAGAGTATCCCGAGGAGACTGAGGAGAGGGAGGAAAGCTCCACAGGCTTTGACAAGTCCCGCCTTGGGACTAAAGAATTCACTGGTCCAAATGAGAGAGGAAGAGCAAGAGGAACCTTTGTAAGTGTTCTCCACCCTTGCCCCAAGTGTGTTCTCCACCTGTGCCCTGAGGGTTGAGCCCTTGTGGAATCTCTCCAGGTCTGGGGCATAAATCAGGCTGCTGGGGGCAGCAAGCTCCAGATGGGAGGAGCAGAACAAACCCCGGAAGGTTCTGGGCATTAGTGATGCTGAGCATCCCAATGGGCACACACTGTGCTTCCATTGGGGTTTGGCCACTGCTCGTGTCTGCAGTCCATGTGCAGAGGGTCTCACCTGCTGGGGGTTGCCCTGGGAATGCCTCTACATGATCTTCATCAGCTTTACAGGAACTGTGATGTGCTGTGTGATCAGATGAACTAAAACCCAAAACCACGAGTGCAGGGGGTGGTGCAGACACACTAAAGCTGTCCTCTTGCTTTAACAATAGGTTTTAAAGGTGTTCTGGATGGTCAGAGAAGGGATGTTGGATATCTTGGGACCCCTGGAAGCTGACTGGAGTGGGAGGATACTGCCTTTGCAGCCGTTCCATTTTTCTCCTGTGTGTTGCTATTGCAGCAGTTCAGAGCTCGAGGGAGAGGATGGGGCAGAGGAAACTTTTCAGGCAACAACAACAGCAACAGCGGCGGCAACAACGACTTCCAGAAACGCAGCAGAGAGGAGGAGTGGGACCCCGAGTACACACCCAAGAGCAAGAAATACTACTTGGTACGTACCTGGGTGCTGAGACACCCGTGTGCTCCAGGTGTGTCCGGTCTCAGGTGCTTCAGAGGTGAAAGCACCCGTTGTCACTGACACACCAGGTAAGGCTTCGGGTGGCGCCTCACGGGAAGCTGCTGGCTCGTGCCTAAAGAGAGCTTGTTCCTGCTCCCTGTAGAGTGGTTCCCATTAAGTGGATCCCCAAGGGCGGTCGCAGAGGCGCGGTGCAGGGCGGTGCCAGCCTGTCTCACCTGCTGTCCTTGGCTTCCCGTGCAGCACGACGACCGCGAGGGCGAGGGCACGGACAAGTGGGTGAACAGGGGCCGCGGCCGTGGCGCCTTCCCCCGGGGAAGAGGCCGCTTCATGTTCCGCAAGTCCAGCACCAGCCCCAAGTGGGCTCATGACAAGTTCAGTGGGGAAGAGGGAGAAATCGAAGACGACGAAAGCGGAACGGAAAACCGGGAGGAAAAGGACGCCCTGCAGACGACGGCCGAGTAGCCGCGGGGCCCGCGCCGTTCTGGGAGCCCTGGCAGGAGGGGAGGGGTCAGGCTGGTGCTGGGGTGTCAGGGTGATCCCCACGTGCTGAGCAGAGCCCTGGAGAGCAGCTCGGAAACCATCCCGACGTTATTTAACTGCATTTCCAGAGTTCAGCCTCCCCAAGCACGGACTGGGACTGATCCATCATTTACGCTCGGATCCACTCCTGGAGTTTCTCTTCCCAAAGACTTCCCTTCTGGACTGGATACGGTCAAGCACTGGGTGAGACCCCAGATTTTCCCTTCTCTGTGACCTTATGGATGGTCGGTTATTTTTTGGTAACAGGCTTTGAGGGCGATGTGGTTTTAGTTTGTGCCCACCTGACCCCACGTGTCCTGACATTTTGTTTCTCTTTTATAATTTGACCCAGTGACAGTCGGGGTTCACTCGCCTGCTCAAATTTTCCTCCCCTATTGTGTATTCAGTTTTCTAAATTCTGCTTATTTTAGGCCTTTACATATGTAGTAGCATCAATTCAGAGATAATTTTGGAAACTATTTTTGGTTCTTATAAATAAGAAAACAATGAAGCATGTGAGTAAACATCTAAATGTTCACTTGTTGGGACCAAACTGCTATGACTTTTTTTTTTTTTTTTTAACTTTTTTTTATGTAACAGTTGAGTTTAGGGCCTTTTAAAAATGATTGTTTTCCTTTTATGTTTGAAGTTAACAAAATTAGCATGGTTTAAAAGAGAAAAAAAAAAATTACACCCTACTTCTGGCCACTCTTTGTGTTCACTATTAGGCCTGGTGTGTGCTGGACCCCAAACTGCTTGTAGCATTTGTGTCTCCTCCCTGCAGCTGGTTGTGACCCGAGTGCCCTTTCCAAGGTGACACCGTTTTCTAAGGAACTTCCGAATTCTTCTTGGGGAAAAATATAAATGGAGATGAGAATTTTTCAATATTTTTTATTAATCTTTTTATAAAACCAAAAGGCAAATTCCTCCTGAGCTGGTTGAGGACGGCCCTTAGGCTGCATTTCTTTTTACTTTCTACTTAAAGATATTCTGGAGTAGTTTGTGGAGGGTTCCCGGCCAGGTCGTGAGCCTGGGCAGGGAGGCACAGCCGTGCCTGTGTTCTCCCTGTCCCTCTCCCCAGGATTGCTGTGCTGTTCCCCACACACCAGCTAGAGTTTGGTTTGTTTTGACTTGAACAGTTCCTGTTTAGCAAAGCCCCGAAGTTTGTTTATGCAAATAAAATACAATAAAATAAGTCGTAGGTGTAACTCTGCTTGGTTTGTGTCCTGAGTTTCCAGGGAGAGCCTGAAAGGACCAAGTGCCTGGAGAAACAGGGGAGCAGCTCCCTGTTGGGTTTTGTTCATTAGTAAATCATTCTGCCCCTGTTTTGGCAGTAATTGCCTGGGGACAGTGGTGACACAGCCACAGGCCTTTCCCCCACCTGCTGCCAGCATTGTGTCATCCGTGCACAGGAGCAGCTCCATCCTTCCCACACCTGAGCTCCTCCCAGTGCAGGGCAGCTGCAGCCCCGTGCTCTGCCCTCGCTGGTGCCCAGCAGCAGCTTTTCCATGGCTGCCATCCCAAGGGACGGTGCTGGGGGGCTGCTGGCTGTGCAGCCTTTGCAGGAGTTCAGCTTTCCTGGTTGCTGTGGGTCATGGTGTTGGCCAAGAGCTGTTGGGACAGTGCTGGGTTTAATGGCTGATGCTTCCCTTCACACTCAGGCCTTGAGCCAGCCTGAGGAAATGGGTGCCCAGTGTTCCCAATTCCCTGGCCTGAGTGGCCACAGCAGGAGAGCACAGCCTCCTGGTCTGCAGTGGAAACTCTGTTCTGCCATCCTTCTCTGCCCCAGGGCTGATTCCCAGCCGCTCCCAGTTTGATATTGCTGGGTCAGATGCATTTGGCCAAAAGTAAAATCCACGCTGTCTCCTGGTCCAGGCACTGGCCAGGACCGGCCAGGATCCGTGATGTTACACTGACCCTTCAGGCTCTGTGGAGGGACGGCTGCAGCGTGGCTGCACCATCCCCTGCACCCTGTTCTGTGGGTTTTGGCCCCTCTGTGGTTTGGGTTTCACTTCCCCTCCAGCCAAGGGTGACAGAACCACTGTGAGACCTGGGTGAGTGTGAGTTGTCACCCCGGGCCTGCTGCGGTCCTGGCCTGGTGCCTCTCTCCGCCCTGTGCTGGCCCCAGCTCCCCCCGCAGCTCTGTCACGCAGGGAACCCCAATGCCAACAGCGAGCCCCCGCTGTGGCACAGGTGGCCCAGCCCTGCCCGGGGCCGGAGAAGGTGGGTGGGGGCTCCAAGAGGGGACACATGGCTCTGCGGGGCTCTGCTGTGCCAGCCTTCCCTCCTGCGCTCCAAGTGCCCGGTGCCCTCCAGTCCCACCTTGTCCCACAGCCGAACCTGGTGCTGCCGTCCCAGAGAGTCCCGTGAGTGTGGCCCTGGCGTCCAGGCAGTGCTGAGAGCCTTGGTGTCCCGCTGGGATGGCCAGGCAGCCCCGGGAAGGGCACAGCGTGGGTTCGGGGAGCAGAAGTCCCCCGGTGGGGCACAGGGATGCGGTGCGGACCAGCACCGAGGTGCGCTCTGCCTCAACTTCCTTCCCAGAGCGGAGCCGATTTCCTCCGGCATCACGTGCACGGTGTGGGGCTGGGACAGCCTGGCACGGCACAGCACTGCTCAGCCTCGGAGGCAGCCCCGTCCCGGCAGGTAGGAGGGAGCAACCGAGGGTCCCGCGCTCGGGGATCGTGCCAAGGGCAGCACCTGTGTGTGATCACACGGCTCCAGGGCTGAGCTGTGCCCTGGGGGACTCCAGGAGGGCTGCCAGGATGCTGGGCAATTCTGGGCACCATCACCCCAGTGCCACCGGAGCAAAGGAGCACTGGGGCCTTGGATGAGGGTGTCCTCACCCCTGCAGCCCTTGGGGCTTCTGACATATCTTTGGGTGGGTAATTCCGGCACCATTTTTGGTGTCTGAGCGATCTCTGTGGCAAGGGCTGTGCTGGTGGCAGCAGCAGGGACCAGGCAGCGTCATGGCTGCTGGCCCACCATGGGGACATGGCGACCCACCACGGTGACAGTGTGGCCAACCGTGATGATGGGGGGGGCTGGCCATGGGGACAGGGGAGCCTGCCATGAGAGCCGGGTGCTCCATGGGCACATACCCATAGCCTGATGTCTGGTATCTCACCGTGCCAGTGGGCTTGTCCTGGTGTAACCCCAGGGTTCAGAGGTGCAGGGATGCTGCTGTGCTGTGGATGGCGGTGGGATGACATCCCGTGCAGCCCGTGCTGCAGGGCTGGTGCTCAGGGGAACTTTGCAGCTGCCTGGTCCGCCACACGCAGAGGAAGCGCCGACCACAGTGGGGCCGGTGTGGGGCTGGTGCGGGGCTGGTGCGGGGTTGGGAGAGGCTGTGATAAGGATCCTTCCCCAACACCTGATGAGCCCCTTTGCTCCCCGGCAGCTCCAACCACAACAAAGGACAAGGAGAGCAAGGACAGAGAGTCCCTCTCGGGTGAGTCCTGGAGGACAGGGAAGGACAGGGATGTGCCTGGGATGGGCCCTCTGGGCCACAGCATGTCACGAGCAGGAAGCGCTTCCTGCCCCACTCTTGTCAGCGCTGATGTCAGCCCCAGCCCTGCTCCTGCCTCTCCCCAGAGCTCCCAGCACCAGCGAGGATGGAGCCGACCAAGATCCCACTCACCAAGAGGGCGGCTCCTGCTCCCCCCGTTCCTGCCAAGACCAAACCTGCCCCTGTGCTGGCCAACAAGTAAGAAACACGTGGCTGTGCTAGGGTGTCCAGGGCCACTGCGATGTCCCAGTGCCAGCACCATGCTCATGGCTGGCCCTGGCGTGGGGCTGGCAACTCTCTCCCTGGCTGTGCCACTTCACACCTCTGCTGTCCCCCAGGCTCAGTGACCTCCAGCCCAGCACTGCAGCTGACATGGAGCAGGGCAGAGCCAGTGACCCAGGTAAGATGCAGGGGCCATGCAGGGGCCTGCAGGGGTGGCTGGGCCCTGCCCAGCACCACGTGCTGATTCCTGCTCTTTCTTTGGCAGATATCAATGGCTTCAACATGGTGGCAGTTACCACAGCCAGGCTGAGCCACCCCACAGCCACACGGCCACGAATACCCGGCCAGCGGCCACCCAGCATTGTCCTGGGGAGCACGGGGGATCCCCTTGGGGGCGAACAGCCCCAGGGGCTGCCTCGTGCTGCCGTCTGTGCCCCAGTCCCCAGCATGGGGCAGGTGCCTGTTCCAGCATGGAGCACAGAAGGGCTGGATGTGTTGGAGGGGAGGTCACTGGCCCTGGAGGACCTAAAGGCTGAGGTCCGGACCCTGCACATCCTTGTGGACCTGATGCGGGTCCAGCACCTGTGAGTGGGATGGGGGTGTCAGGGAGTCCCCAGTGACTCCTGGCCATTTGCTGCTTTGTCCTGGCCCCAGCTGAGCCATCCTGGCATGTTGCAGGAGGGACCTGCAGGACCTGCGGCAGGAGCTGTGCCAGGAGCGGACTCAGCGCCAGGCACTGCAGGTGAGTCCCTAATAAGGGTTGCCGTGTCCTGGGGTCCCCTGTGCCCCACAACAATCACAGCCTCTCCCCACAGGTGGAGATCGAGCGAGTGAGGAGGGGGCTGCCCTGTTAGCACGGGGGGACTGCAGTGCCCACCCATGGCACGGGACAGGGTTCCATGTCACCCCCCGACCTCGCTGCCCCCAACCCAGTTCTGCACCCATTGGGTACAAATGCCCACTCCACACCCAGACACTGCTCATCGAAACGTAACAGTCCCTGGACCTATAGAAATGGTTTAAAATAAACTATTTTGGGTACAGAGTGCTGTGTGGGGGCTGCTCAGGGCTCTGCTGTTGGCTGCTATGCCCCTGAAAGGCTGGGCTGGTCCTGCTGGGCACAAAGGGTCCCACCATGGCACATGGGGTCCCACCAGGGCCCGTGGCAGGTTTGGGGCAGGGCCTCCTCTTCCTCCTCCCCTCCTCCTCCTCCACCCCCGCACAGTTTTCCAGGCCAGCTCCAATCCCAGCACAACCTGGCCTCCAGCCACTGGAGAAACATCTGGAAAACATCTGGATCCTGCTGGCTCTTGCAGCGGGGGGGAACTAGCCTGGGAAGGAACTATTTTTATAAAGCTGCCGGGGAGGGGGCAGCGGGGCCCGGCTCCCCGCGGCGTTGGGCTGGGAGTGGGGCAGGATGCGGCTCAGCCCGGGGGGAGCTGCCGCATCCCTGGGGAGCAGCGGCCGGCCCAGAGTCCAGCGGGAACATCCGCCTTGCTCCGGCCGGAGGGCGTTGGGTCACGGCGGGCGGTGCCGGAAAAGACCCGGCTAATTTTAGTGGGGCCGGGAAAGGAATTGGCTCGGGGAGGGGCCGACACCGGCCCTGTGTCCGGTCCCATGTCCCCCAAAACGCCGGACCCGCCACGCTGGGCTCTAGTTCGTCTACAACAGCACCATGTTTGTGGGGCAGGAGCCCACGTACAGCCCGGCCCTGCCCCACGGGGTGAAACCCCCGCCCGATCCCGACTGAGCCGGGCAGCCAGGGCTGCCCTGTCCTTGTCCCACTCCCCGCGTGTCCCGGGGCTGCTCGGCTGGTGCCAGCCGTCGTACCAATGGCTCAAAGTGCATCGTGTCCTGCAGTGGCGGGGGGTGAGTCCAGCCTCGGAGGTGCCCGTGACACCGGGGTCTGGCTCTCCTTGGTGCAGGGACAATTCAAAGTAGCTCCGCCAGCTCAGGGGCAGCGAACAGCCCCCTGTCCTCCTGGTCCATCCTGGCACGGTGTGGGGTGAGCTGTGGGGGAGCAGACACCGTGCCAGGGCAGCTGCCGGGCTCAGTAGTAGTGGACGCGGCCCAGGGTGCCGATGGTGCCGGATCCCAGGATGTCGGGCTGCCCGTTGCGCCAGATCTCGCGGATGATGCGCTCACGCTCCTCCAGCCGCTGCGCCCGCTCCAGCTCCTCGGCCGACGCAAACACATTCACGGCCAGCGCCCCGTCCCCGGGGCTGTGGCTCTCCAGCGGGATCTCGGTCACCGGCAGCAGCGACTCAGACGCTGCGCGGTCCACGGTGTCCTCTTCGTCCTCATCCTCGTCATCGTCCTCCTCGTCCTCGCTGAGGTCGCCTGGGCGCGCCGGGGGCCGCGGGGAGGGCCGGCAGGACAAGCGCAGCACCAGCAGGCACAGGGTGAGCACCAGCCCGAAGCAGACGCCCAGCACGAAGTAGAGCCCGAAGCTCTCGGGGTTGGCTGCGGGGGGAACGGAGGGGGTGAGGGAGGGACTGACCGCGCCTGCCGGGGGCCCGCAGTGGCCTCGCAGACGCGTCCTGGCTCACCTCGGATGTGGGCGTACGCGGCCATGCTGTTGCTGAGCAGCTCCATGTCCCTCCGGCGACCCTCCATCCTGTGCCTGGCAGTTCTCAGTGGCTCCAGGGACGACACATGCTTGGCATCTGCGGGACACGAGCTGAGCAACCCTCTACAGGGGGCTAGGATTCCCCCCCAAGTCCCCTGTTCCTTTCAAGGCAGTGCCTGGGTGCGTCCAAGGGCTCCAGCTGAGCTCCAGCTGAGCAAGATTCGTGCCTGGGCTGGGCTGCTCCATCCAGGGCTGGAACCCCACAGATGCTGAGCTGGAGCCATCCCACTCCCACCGCCCCCCGTCCTTCCTGAGGGACCAGGACGGATACTGCTCCTCCTGGACACAGCACCAGGCAGATCTGTGGCACCGGGCCAGGCTTTCTGTGCCATGCCGGGCCATGGGAAGGGGCACGGGGCAGAGCAGGGTCCCAGCAGCAGGCGGCAGTGCCGCAGCTGCCCGTGCTCGTGTGCACACACGCGTGCTCCACACACACTCTTGGGGCAGTGTCCCTGTCCCTGTCCCCCACACTGCTCTGGCCCAGCTCCAGCCTTGGCCCTTTGCCATGGGGCCCTGCAGTGCAGAGACAAGGCCAGGCACAGTGCAAAGGCCACCAGGACAGGGGTCAGGATGAGAGGCAGGACAGCGGGAAGGATGGGCAGCAGGGCAGTGGCACGGATGGGAGGCAGGACAGCAGGCAAGACAGGGCGGGAGGAAATTTGGCCCTGGTAGGGGACGAGCTCATTCCCAGAAACGGCTCCAAGGAGGGAGGAATGAGGAAAGAAATGCAGAAAATGTGACACATCAGCAAAACCATCCCGGACGGTCCAGAGCTGAGGGTCTGCGGCACGTCCCGGGGCTGGGCAGCCCCTCTAGTGGGACACCCCAAAACAAGGCCAGCAGGGTCCCTAGGCGGGGCGGGTGCCCTCCCCGTGGAGCAGCACGGCCAGGCCCTGCCCCGGCAAGGGGCGGCTGTGGGGCTGGAGGGGCACAGCAGAACCACGGGACCCCCAGGCATCCCCTGCCGGTGGCGGAGCGCTGAGGAGAGCCGGGCTGGCTGCAGGGCCTTGCGAGTCCCCAAGAGCCGAGCCCCGAGTCGCCCAATGCTGCGTCCCCAAGCCTCCTGCTCCGCATCTTCACCCGCTAGGTCCCCACAGCCCGGGCTGTGTCACCGAGCCCTGCACCCTCGGCCCCCCGTGTCCCTGCACTGCTCCCGCGTCCCCCAGCCCCGCGTCCCGCAGAGCACCTGAGCCGGGACAGGACCGAGCCTGGGCAGCCGCTGTGGCCGCTGGGGCTGGGCGGCTGCGGCCCCTCAGGGTGCCCTGGTCCGAGCCCCACGCGGTGCCCGGGGCTGGTACTCACCGGGGTGGGAAGGCGGCGGCGGCAGAGCCGCTGCACTTTGGCTGGAGCGAGGGAAGAGAGAGCAAGGTCTGTTTAGCATTAAGGCTGCAGCAACAGGAAATAGTTCGGAGGCGGCTGGCGGTCAGCGCTCCCGCCGGAGCCAATGGCAGCCCCGGCCGGTGCTGAGCGGGGCGCGGGGCCGGGGCTCGTCCCGTTCCCCCGGGACGCCACGCTCGGCCCTGCAGTGGAACCGCCCCGGAGCGGGGCCACAGCCGGCTCCAGGCCCCGTCCCAGCCTTGTCCAGCGCCCATCCGGCCAGGCCAGGCTTGGCTGTGCCCAGCCTAGGCTGGGCTGGCAGTGCCGGAGCCAAGGTCCCCCGGGCTGGGGGGCTCAGCTCAGGCACAGTGGTTGCCATGGGTTTGGGGGAGCTGCCGGGGCTGGTGCCAGCCCCACGGAGGTGGGAGCCACGCAGGGTGGCCCTGGCTCAGCCCCACTGGCCGAGGTGTGGGACATGCCAGGGCCCGGGGACAGGAGAATTCCATCACTGTCCCCATGGCCACTCCAGGCTGGACTGGGAGGGACAAGCTCAGTGGCTGAGTCAGGGCACTGATCCTTGGGGCAGGACAGGGATGGGGGTCCCACGGGGCACTCAGAACGCTGATTTGTGAGCCTGGCCCTCCCCTTCCTGCCCCCTCCTGTACATCTCCCAGAGCACATCAGTACCCCAAAATCCCCCAACCCCCCCCTTCCCTGTGGGGTCGCTGGGCTGTCGTATGAAGTTTTATTGCCGACATGCAGGAGTAGTTTCGATGTAGTACAAAAATAACGTCTTTATACAAATTTTTTTCCTTTTTTTTTTCTTTTTCTTTTTTTTCCTTACAACAGGCTCTGTCGCGCCGTGGCCCTGTGGCCTCCCCATGCCCCCTGTACCACCCCCTTCCAGTTTGCCTTAGCACAAGTGGATTGACTGGTGCTGCCACTGCAAGATCCTGGTGTGATACAGCCTCAAGGAGTCCCAGAATATTGCTTTTTGCTTTAACAAGGGGGAAAAAACCAGTAAAAATAAACAGGGAATGAGGCAGGAGAACCAGGAGGAGAGAACAGGGCCCTGGTAGGGTGCTCAGGGGATCCCTGCCCTGCTGCTGGTGGCACAGGGGGTGGTGGGCCCACGGGACAGACCACCATCTTCAAAATAAATAAGGCGAAAGAGTTGGGGCTACTGGCTCAGCTGGGGTGGTGCAGGGAGCTGGTCTGTGTTAGTGTTCACGAGGCCCTGCCTGGCCACAGGGCCTTGGCACGTAATGCCCGATGTGGCCAGGGAGGTTCAGGCCCAGCCCCCTGTCCCCACAAAGCCACTGCTGGGGTGGCCCAGCTTAGACCCCGTCCCCTTCCCCAGCCTGGGGCAAGAAAAGGCAACAACACGCTACAAACATCTGCGACTCACTCCCTGCCCACGCCCACTGTGCTGCAAGAGCTGGGCCCAGAGAGCAGTGCAGCCCCAAAAAGCAGGGCAGCCCCCCGAGCTCCAACCCTCCCTGCTCACAGGGCTGGGAGCAGCCAGGAGCAGGGAAGGAGGCAGCTGAAGAAGGTGCTGCCTTGAGCAGGAACCCTGGCCAGGGCACTGGGAGCCCTGGGAGCTCTGTGTGAGAACAGTTCATCTGGCAAGACAGGCATCCAGTTCATAAATGAGGCTCAGAAACAATCATCCCTGTTCTCAGCACAGGCCAAAGCTCTTCCAGTGGTACGAGGTGACAAACCACGATGTCCTTCCCCTGTCTTGGCATGAGGGCAAGAGGCAGCCCCAGGTTTGGGCTGAGATGGCAAGAAAAGCTGGGAACAAATACAGTAGAGACTTCAGCCAGCCCCTCCTACTCTAGGCGGATTATTTTGGGAAGCTTTTCACATTATAACTCATATATTACATCTGTACCACAACTGAGGGGGTCAACACTAAATCAGAATTAATGCAACTGTAACTGCACCTGGGATATGCTACTGAAAAATAAGATTAAATCATGGATCCTTATAAACTAAAGGAATCAGTGAGAGGTGGGAGAGGGGCAGGGGCCCTGGCAGGCCAAGTCCTGTGAAACCTTTGAAGTGGGGACAGGATCCGATCCCTGCAGGTGGCGCTGCCCAGACGACTCCTCAACTCCTGCCTGAGGCGGTGGCCGGGCTCTCCGGTCACAGCAGTGGCCCCACAGGACTGGCCAGCGTGGCCAGACCAGGTGGCACATAAGGACAGAAACAGATTTGATGCAGATGAAGGGAAGTGGGAGGTTTCAAGAAATTCTGCCTTTCCAGAAACCCTGATAAATCCAAGCTTATTCAAACCACAAGGAGCGGGTGCCACGGGCCGGCTCCGCGCTGCACGGCCACGGCTCTGTGCCAGCAGCTTCACCCTTGGAAGTCTCCTCCTTTCCCACGGGCTTTGCTCGATCCAGAGAACAGCATGGTTAAAAAGACAAGAGAGGTAGATTACAGTCATGATTAAAAGCAGATTAGTCATCTAGGCTTCGATTTTAAAAAAACAGATTCCAGAAGATGCCAAGAGGTTGCTGCTTCCAAAACTAGCTTTTCCAAAAGTCTTCTCCCTCCGGAGCAGGTGTGAGTGCATGTCCCTGGACAGAGCTTGGGATTGCTACATTATTCCCCGTCGTGGGACAGCGGTATTGCTGTAGGCTGGAGCAGGCGAGGTGAGGGCAGACTGCAGGGTGGTGCTCGTGCTCTTGGGGCATGGGAAGCTATTTCCGGAGGTACCTCTGGGCCAGGATGGCCGCGTCCAAAGGGTTCATGGGCTGCGCGTCGTGGCCCAGGCGCCGCACCGGCGGGATGTTCCCGAACTGCCGCTTCTGCAGGAAGCTCTTGGCCTCATGCAAGGTGTTCTTCTCCTCGGCCAAGAGCAGCTGCTGCCTCATGTAGTTCTCGAACTCGTACTGGGAGCACTCCTCCGTCACCTTCACCTGCAGAGACCGACCTGTCAGATCCACACCTGGCAGCGCCATGGCTCCTCTGATGGGCCTGAGCTACCACGGGATAACTGGAGTCCTAACACAGGGAAGGGACCTGCTGTTGGGCACTCAGGGAGGCCTCCTCGTGAGTTAGCAGTGCCACCAGGACACAGCTCTGGCCACCACAGCAGCTCTGTCCTGACATGGCTCATCCCAGCCCTGGCAGCACTGAGGCTGCAGCTGCCTGACCCCTGTCCCTGTGGCACCATCACAGATCCCGCACGGCTGTCCCCATGGCAGGCACTTCTAGCATGAAACAAACCGGCAGGAAAACAGGATGTTTGCTCCCATGGCAGAGCTCACTGGGAGCCAGAGCCAACACTGCTGCCTCCTCCCAGCATTCCCAGCTGTGTGTGAGGGAGTGAGCGCTGCTGGGAGCGCAGTGAGCTGCTCTCATCAGCTCTAGGGTCGAGCTCACTTCCTGGCAGCTCAGCCAGCTGGATGTGCCTCCTGGTCCCAGCAGCATCAGCCTTTCCTTCCGTTGCACAACATGAGGGACTCCCCACCCTCCCCTTCCCAGCTTGGAGAGACAATGGGTGCTATCACAGACAGACTGGCACAGAAGCACAGAAAAACAGTTCTGTGGAAAGCAGGGAAACCTACCTCCTGGGGGTTTTCAGGATTAGCCACTTGGTCATCTATGTCCGGCACCACTTGCAAAGGGCCACTCAGCGAGGACATGGACTGCCTGGAGGAGAGCACAGCATTGGGATCCACAGCATGGCACTGGCTCACCCATCCTTACCCAGCCCCAGGGTGATCCCACTGGGATGACCATGGCTGCCACAAGCATTTGCACAGGCTTCTCTAGCTGTAGCCATCAGCACACAGTGGTAGACACATGGGATTTAAAGGCTTACTGCAGTTCCCAGACCCTCCTCTGGTGAAGTGAGCCAGCCACAGCTGGAACAACACAGCCTGTGGCCAGAGACAGCGTGTCCTGTCTCTCCCCTTGCACATACCAGGACGCTATGATGGAGCTGAGGGAATCCAGCACTTCAGAAGCCGTCAGCCGCTGCTGCGGGTCCAGGACCAGCAGTTTCCGGATCAAGCACACAGTGTTTTCTGAGACCCGGCCATCCCTGGCAGAGACAACACGTGGTGAGCCTGGGCTGGGCAGAGTGGTGGCAGCACGGACATGCTGGGAGCACAGGAGCTACAGGAGCCACCACTGCTCTGAGCCTGCCTCACCTTCCCACAAGCTGTCCCAGCCCTGCTCCTGCTTCCTGGTGTCTAGCGCACACAGCTTGCTGTCAGTACTGCTGTGACCTTTTGGGTGCTGAGGGGAGCCCCTCCAGCTCCAGCTAGCCCAGTAAGCCCCCCGTGGCCAGGCAGGAAGGGCAGGCTGTACTCACTCAGGGATGGTGTACTCGGCAGCCTTGATTTTGCGGAAGAGCTCCTGAGGTATGCTGTCGTAGAAGGGGAACTGGCCATAGAGCATGGTGAACAGCACCACCCCCAATGCCCACATGTCGCTGGGCTTCCCACGGTATGGCCGGCCTGCAGGGAGAGGGCACACACAGCCTGAAAATCCTGGAAAGAACAGCACTGGCAACCTCCCTCACCTCCCACAGCAGAGGTGCTGAGTAACCCCCACATGGGACCCTTTTTCTAAGCATTAACCAAAATGCTTGAGGCTTCCCATAACATAACACCAAAACTCTTTCCAAGGCTCTGTGGATGAGCAAATTGTCCATCTCCACACAAGTGTCCTCCTGTTCCCTATGGAGCAGGGATATCCCTGCTGTGAACCAAAGGCATCAGGTAGCTGGAACTGCTGTGCTGGAGTTCCCAGGTCAGCATCCCTTGCACAGAGCCACCCAGCTTGCCAGTCTGGGCCAAGGGAGAGGGAATTCAAGAACCATGGAGCACAGGGCAGGAGGAGGCAGGAAAGAAGCCCAGGAAGAATAAGGCTGAGCCCATGGAGAAGGGACTCTGACAGTGGGATGGATCTAGCACACAGCCACTGAAGCCAGATATAAAGCCACAGAGTGTGCAGGAAGGTGCTTTCCTGCACAAAGACATTTAGACAAAGACAATAGTCAAACCCTAACCCAAGGCTGTTGCCGCCCCAGGATTCACCTGATGGAAATGCTGTTTCTAAGCCCCTTTGGTCACAATAATCAGCACACAGCAGCATGGACAGGGTCACAAAATCAAATCCCAGTGCTACAGCACAGCACAGGACTCAGGGAGAGACTTCCTCTGACTCACACAGTGAGTCACTGCTGCAGCATTTGGTATTTGTACTAATTATTCCTTGCTTTATATGCTCAGAAAAAGGCACCTCTCCCTCCTCCTCCAACTTTTCCTGCTGTGACATTTCAGCAGCCGTTCCTCAACATAGACAGCTTCTCCTGGAGACCCACAACAATGATTAATTCCTCAGGCGCTCCAGCTTCCCCCTGCACAGGAGCACCAGCAATACAGAGGGATGTGCCAAGCCTGAAGGTGGTGGTGACTGGAATGTCCTCAAGTAACTTCCCCTTTGATACCTGAAGGGGAACTACACACTGAGCAATTTTGGGAGAGCATTTTGGAGAGCACAGGATGGGCCCCACGGGAAGGGCTGATGGCAGACACCAGAGCTGGGGTGCAGCACAAGGCAGTGAGGCTGGGCAGAGCAGGATGAGTCCTGAGCTAAGGCTGCACTTTGCAGGGTCTCTCAAGCAGTCTCAGCTGTCAGAGATCAGCCAAGACAGCCTCTTCAGTGCCCTGTGGCCAGTTACACCACAAGAGAGCCCTTAGAAGAAACATGAGAAGGTAGCTGGAGGCCTGGATAGACCAGCACCCTGGAGCAGAAAGGAACAGCTCCTCATAGCCTTCTTCAGCCACTTGAGCCATAACTGCTCCAAGTTCTTGCAGAGCAGTTGGCTTCTATCATCCATCGGGTCACAAGAGCCTCAGGATATCCTGCAGAACAGGAAAGGCTTGCAAAAACCCCAGGATCCACCTCCTCACTTGCCTTTGCTCCCTTCTGGCTGGAAGGGAAGCATCTCAAACCTGGCCCGGCAGATCATGATGGAAGAGCACGACAACATTTACTGCTGCTGCCTGCAAACCTGACACAAAACCTCCTGAGGGGAGTCCACTGGGGCTGGATCTTCCAGGACTGGTTCCCTCTGAGGGCATTACTGCAACACAGTTGCTTGGGATACCAGGAACAAATAACTCATGTGTTAATGCCAGATACCTGGATCTACAAGAGGGAGAGGCCTTGTATGCACAGTCCCACCTGTACATGCACCCTTCAACACTAATCTGGCTCACCTGCATGAGAGGAAAAATCCTCAAAATGATGCCTGGGTCACTACACTGACAACCAGGACCACTCCTGCCTGCTCAAAGGCTAATACAGGAGCACAGAATCACTGGGTTGGAAGAGACCTTCAAGATCATCGAGTCCAACCCCTGCCCTAACACCTCAACTAAACCATGGCACCGAGTGTCACACCCAGGCTTTTTTAAACACATCCAGGGATGGTGACTCCACCACCTCCCCGGCCAGACCATTCCAGTATCTTATCACTCTTTCTATGAAAAACCTTTTCCTAATATCCAACCTGTATTTCCCGTGGCACAGTTTAAGACTGTGTCCTCTTGCTCTGTCAGTGCTGCCTGGAGAAAGAGACCAATCCTCACCTGACTACAACCACCTTTCATGGAGTTTTAGAGAGTGATAAGGTGACCTCTGAGTCTCCTTTTCTCCATGCTGAACAACCCCAGCTCCCTCAGCCCATTCCTCACAGGGTTTGTGTTCCAAGCCCCTCCCCAGCCTCGTTGCCTCCTCTGGATGTGCTCGAGTGTCTCAAGGTCCTCCCTAAACTGAGGGGACAGAAGTGGACACAGCACTCGAGGTGTGGCCTCACCTGAGTACAGCACTGCTGTTCTCCCTGCTCCTGCTGCCCACACCATTCCTGATCCAGGCCAGGAACCACTGGCCTTTGGCCACCAGGGCACACTGCTGGCTCATGTCCAGCCTGCTGTCCATCAGTGTCCCCAGGTCCCTTTGTGCACTGTCCAGCCACACCATCCCCAGCCTATAATGTTGCAGGGGGTTATGGAGGCCAAAATGCAGGACTTGGCAGTAAGACTCATTAAACCTCATCCCACTGGACTCTGCCCATCCATCCAACCCTTCCAGGTCTCTCTGCAGAGCCCTCCTCTCTGCCAGCAGATGGACACACACTCCCAGCTTAGTGTCGTCTGCACATTTACTAATGAATGACTCAATAGCCTGATCCAGGTCATCAATACAAATATTGACCAGGACTGGCCCCAGCACAGCCCCCTGAGGGACACCACTGGTGACTGATCCCCAGCTGGATGCAGCATTGTTCACCACCACTCTGGGCCTGCTCATCCAGCCAGTTCTTAACCCAGACAGAGTGCTCCTGTCCAAGCCACAGGCTGCAGCTTTTCCAGGGAATGCTGTGTGAGACAGTGTCAAAGGCCTTGCTGAAGTCCAGGTACACAACATCCACAGCCTTTCCTGCATCCACCAGGAAGGTCATTTGGTCATAGAAGGAGATCAGGTTGGTCAAACATGACCTACCCCTCCTAGACCCATGCTGGCTGGGTCTGATACCCAGACCATCCTCTAAGTGCTGTGATGGCACTCAGTATAAACTGTTCCATTACCTTACCACGTACTGAGGTCAGGCTGACTGGTCTATAATTACCAGGCTCCTCCTTCCCACCCTTTTTGTGAATGAGGGTAACACTGGCCAGCTTCCAGTCATCTGGAACCTCCCCAGCGAGCCAAGACTGTTGGTAAATGATGGAGAGTGGCTTCACAAGCTCATCTGCCAGCTCCCTCATCCCCCTGGGATGGATCTCATCCAGTCCCATAGATTTATGAACAGAGCAGACATGAGAGCTCATGGAGAAAAACCTCCTGAACCAACTGGACAGAAAGCACAGCTGTTCCCAATGGTCTCATGCACTGGAAACAGTTAAAGGCAGGAGGACACCAGGAAAAGCTGCTCTGTGCTGGAGCCAGACTCTGCTCAAAGCCTCTGCTGGAGACAAGGCACAGGCCAGGCTGCTGGAGGGGGGATCCAGCCCAGACTGCTCTGGCCTGCTGTCATCATTCCTTAAATTTTAAGTAATTCCTCTCTGTTGGTCCAGAAGCTGCCCAGAGGGTCACTAGTTCCCTCCTGGAAGTGAGCAGCCGCTGGAGGAATTGGTGCTCTTAGTGCACATCTGGAATACACTGACATCCAGGTGGGATCTGGGCTGGCTGCCCCTTGGGCCCAGGGTTTTACCTGCAGCTTAAGGGAAGACTCAGGAATCCATTCTGATACTGGAAACAGAACATGTTGTATGCAGTCAGACTCATTCAGGAACAGCTAGATTTGAATTAGCTTTGAAGTTCAGACAAGCCTTAAGAAAAAAGTTAGGCTCGCTCCTTCCCTCCAACTTTCCCAGCTGGAAAACCAGACCAAGTCTCCTAACTGGACCTTAACTAAGAGGCTCTCATGAAGGTCCATATGGGAACACAAGAGGTGGTTTTGTTTATTGTCAGGAAGCACAAATGAGTGAAATGAGTGTCAAGGGGAATTCCTACCACTGAGCACGTCTGGGCTGATATAGGCAGGGCTCCCACGCTGGTCCTTCAGCAGGTCGTCCTCACTCACCAGGTGCTTCCCCAGGCAGAAGTTGGTGATGGTGATCCGGTGAGTCCTGGGGAGAAGCACAAGGTGTCAGGGAACACAGGCATCCTGCACAGGCCATGCAGCAGACAGCAAGTGGACTCCAGAACAGGAACTGTGCCTGTGGGGCTTTCTGGGGAGCTTGAAGTGCTGGGAGAAGACACACAGAGCTGTAAAATGAACTCCATCCCAAAGGGGAGGGATTCCATGCCTGCCAGCAAGGCTTGAAAGGCACTCACAGGGGCAGTAACAGGGTCTGTGACAATGTCTGGGTGGCCTGTGTCAGCGTGGCTGTAAGCACAGGGTGTACCTGGCTCACCTTGCAGCCACACAGGTGCCTTGGCCAATCTCCCAGGAGCATTCCAGGCTGCAGCACCAGAGCTGCAGGATCTGCCACAGGTGAAACATCAACAAAACTGAAGTTTATTTTAGCTGCTGATTTTGCCCTGCACTTCCCAGCTGCCATCTTCTCCACACAGCATTTTCTGGGAGCTAAGGGAAAACACCCTGTGGAAGCTGCCCCGTGCCTGGCCCCCGAGCACTCTGTGTTTACAGTCACCAGAGGAGCTGCAGGAGCTGTGATCAGACTCAGCACAACCACGTCTGTGTCACTCAGAGTCCCACACAGGAGCGTGGTGGCAGTTCCACCTGATCCACAGGACTGCTCTCCACACACAGGTGTGCACAACACAAAGCCTGATCAACACCCCAAAAATTTCACACAGAAAAGGGAGAGCTGCAGGTACACAAAATTTCTTTATTAGCTTACCCCTACTTCCCTATGGTACTGCCAGCTCCCATTAATGATTTTTTTCCAGTGCAAGTGAGCTAATTACAAAACTATTGTTTCATTAAGCTTCCCTGTCATTCAGATAATTTAGATTTTCACTTATAATATAAAGGTGTGAGTACAAAAACACAGAAAGATTTCTTGGAAAGTATTTCACAACTGGAGCCTAGGAGAATGGATTAAGTCAGTCACAATAACGAAGAAACATTTCCAGCCAGTCTCACAGACAAATGAAATACAACCAAGTGTGGGTTGGCCATGGAGAGATGGTTATTAAAACAGACAGACTTGTGTTTAAGAAGTGTTAGCTTCAACTGTCAGGAGACTTCCCTGGCTGAATAACAAGCTGCAGGATTTGTTAAGGATTTGAAAGACTAAGTGTTCTATAGGACATGAAAATGTTCAGGGTTGCTTGGTTCTATTTCTTCCCTGAAATTTGATCTAATCTGTAATCACCTAACTCCTCCTGCACTGGCTAATGGGGAAACCCGAGAGGCTTTAATGTCTGTGGGGAGGGAGGTCTGAGGGAGCCCCAAATGGGAGGTTCCTGCCAGGTCCTTGCAGTGCCACACTGTTCCCTTCATTCCCTGCCCTGAGAAGGGACCTGGCTCTTTGTGAGCAGGGCTGGAGCAGAACACACGGTTCTGCTCAGCCCCAGTGGCTGCTCCTCTCCATGGAGATGGCTCTTACACCTCTCCCACCCTTCCCCGTGACTCACTGCTGCACAGCCTGCAGCTTTCCCTCACCAACGCTGAGTAAAAAGCAAAAGCAGAGATGTAACACAAAGAGTGACTCTGGCAAGTGTGTTCAAAGCTTCAAATACCTCCCCCTGCTAGTGGGGCCCTGGGTGTAGTCCCATCGGTGGGGCGCTCCCCTGCACTCAGTGCCCAGAGAAAAGAAGGGAAGTTCTGCCTGGATCCTTTAAAGCATCAACCTTTGTCTGCCTCTTCCAGCAAGGAGGAGAATCAAAGCAGCAAGCAGAAGAGATTTATCTTATAGAAGCTCTACAGAAACAACTTAAAACAACTTAGAGGTGGCCCTGAGAAGCAGCAGCTGCTGCGTGTGTGTGTGGGGGGAGGAACCAAGAAGTTCAAGCTCTGTAGATAAAACCTGTTTCCTTTCAGTGTTAGGGAGGAGAAAGCAGCAAGCTGTGAGCCCAGCAAACCTGCAAGCTTTGTAGACTCAAAGCCTGCAGAACTTCAGCCTTCCCTCTTTTTATTCATTCCACAGAAACCCAGACAGTGTGAAAAGAATGAATTCCACTCATTCTTCAAGTTAGTGCAAAATATTTAGTCAGTAATGTAATCCTGGTGGAGAGAGCAGAGGATCTTAGCTGCCAGCTAAAGAACACAGACCCCGAGGCACTGAGCAGCTCCAAAGAGCCACCAAGCAGAGCCAGGCCACCATCCCCTGCCCTGAGCTCCTGCCCCTCTCTGGGCTGGTCCCTATGGGTCTGCACCAGCATCCAGCACCTGCCAGGCTCCAGAGGCTCCTGTCAAACCAGCAATGGAACAAGGGAGCTATTTCATACACAAATACACACTGGACAGAAGTGCTTTTGTTTAGATGAGTCAATATTTCACTGCTAGCAAAAACACAGCAGTGCAGCAGTCAGATCTAACACTGCTGTGATTGTAGGACGGCCAGCAGGGCTGGGAATGCCTTTAGCATGATGAGGGTGAATGATGGGAACAGAACCAACCACTATGGTTTTTTTTGTTCCTTTTAATATATATAAAAATCAGTACTTCTCTTGCAGGTTATTAAATACTATAAAAATCAGTTTTCAGCAGTTAGAATCCAAACAGAAGTCCTGACAAGAGGCCACTAAGCTGGGTGGGAAAAGTGAACTACCTAGGTGGGGCTAAATTAATTTTTTGAGATTAATTTATATAACTTTGAGCTGGATTTGTGTTTTTGCACAGCCTGATTCCCTTTCCCTCACCCTCCTGCACAAGAGCACTCAAGTTCTGCCTTTGTCTGCTTCTGTACTAGAAATCTGCTTCAAGGAAGAAATAAGACTACTGCCAGGCCAGCAGCTCTCCAGCACACTCACCTTTTGTTTAGCACCATGTTTCCTAGTTTCAAGTCTCTGTGCACAATATTTTTCTGCAAAAAATACAGGAGTATGACATGAGCAAAGTATAAATTTCGTAGTTGCACAAGAGCACTAAAAAGAAATCATGGCATCTGCACTTTGTGAAAAAACCCAGGTCAAGGTTTCAGGTCAGGTTCCACCCCGAGTTCTTTCTGGCCTTCACTTTTGATTGTGATCAGGACAGAACAAACAAATTTGCTACTTTGAAGACAAAGACAGACTTAGTGTACCTAAGAGACCTGAAACTGAACTGTCCAGGCTTGGTTAGAGCCATCTGATGAGCATTCCTTTACCAGACTCATGCTGCACTGCCCTGCCAAGGCAGGACACGTGTCCTGTGTCACAGGGGAACGAGTCAAACATCAGCACAATCCATTTTTATTACCACAGTTTCTAGTTCATTGATCTCAAAACTTGTAGCTTGAGGTTCTGATCTCCAATCAATTCTTACACTATGATTTATTTTGCTTTGCAAGGAAACAGTTTCTGTTTCCTGTGTTTGATCAGGCTCTTTGACTGCTCCTGTCTGAGGTTACCACACTGTGGTTCACCTGACCTGCCCTCAGCCCAGCTGGCCCCTCTCCACAGCCCACAAACACCACATCATCATCCAGAAACGTGAGGAGCAGGGAGCGAAGGGAATGCACTTTAGAGCTTGGGGCACAAGGTCTTATGCAGAACACTCTTAACATCCATGACCTGTAAGTCGGTCACTGCCTGAAGGTTTGAAGCATCTGCTATTCTAACCCTGGAAAACTGCCTCCCAGCACTGGAAGGGAGCTCTCTTTCCAAGCTCTCACCTTGTGTAATGCTTCTACCACTCGTACCACATCATAAAATATCACCACGGTCTCCCGCTCGCTGAGTCTCTTCTCTTTAATGACATAATGCTGCAGATTGATCAGATCTGCTGTTTTGTCACTGAAATCATGAGCACAGAGGCAGTCCAACACCAGGCAAATGCGTTTCTTCATCTTTCTGACCATCCTGTTGGCTTCAAGATCTTCTATGATTTCACAAGCTCGGTCCTGCAGGGAGGCAAACACAGCAGCAACCCCTCAGGGAAGCTCCAGGGCACATGCACAGAAACTGGCAGAGCAAATAACTGCATAACTGGGAGGTGATCTCAAAATAAGCAAATGCAATCACAGTGTTTGGTCTTTGTCCCAAGGCAGGATTTCAAAAACATACAGGAGCTCTACTTAACGATTTGCAGAATCCCAGACTGGTTTGGCTTGGAGGGAACTTAAAAGTTCATCTCACTTCATCCTTTGCCATGGGCAGGGACACCTTCCATTATTCCAGACTGCTCCAAACCCCGTCCAACGTGGCCTTGAACACTGACAGGGATGGGGCAGCCACAGCTCCTCTGGGCAGCCTGTGCCAGGGCCTCCCCACCCTCACTGGGAAGAACTTTTCCTAGGAGGAGGAGGAGGAGTGCAGAAGGCAGAGGAAGTCTCTGCTGTGTGGTTCTGTGTGCACATCAGCACTAATGCTCTTCATGCACACAGATACCTGGAGCTGAACCCAGGACAGCTCTGCAGTGAAGCAGCCTCTGGGAACAGAGGGATCCAACACACCATTCATAAGAAGAACAGAAATCTCAAGGCACAATTAACAGTCCTTCCACGACAGTAAACAAGATACAGCTGAGCTGGACATTTGGCTTATTTAAGATTTAGTACAGATGGTCTCAAGCGAAAAGTGTGTTGGCAAAATGCAACCAGCAAGGCAGGCAATACCAACACCCAAAGCAGTAATTGCTATCAGCCCCTCACATCAACAACACAATCCACTCATACAAAAACTGACCAGCACAGTGACTGGTTTAACTTGCTGAAACAGTTTCTTGGTTATTTGTCCCCTCTTGCAAGTTATAAACAGTACAGAGAACAGAAATCCCAAATTTAATTCTAAAAGGTGCTAATTAATTTGTCAATTAAACAGTTGCTGTTCTGTCTGAAGGGGGAGAGCTGAGTGCCTGTCCCGTCTGTGAATGTTCTCACATTTCCCAAAATCCAAATGTACTCTCCAAAGTTCCTGTTTGAAGCAGCAATGGTTAACCTCAGAGTGCTGCAACTTGGACACACAAGAGCAGGGTCAGCACAAACTCTACATTACACAAAAGCAGCTCAATCTATCAGCAGTCCCTGGCATTGCCCCAGCCTGGATGGTGACCAAGTGTACCTGGAAGAGCCCGTGATGATGGACCACTCCTTCCTGGTTGTGGAGCAGGGAAAGAAGAGAATACTCCGTGTGCAGCAGCATCTTGCCCTGTCGCTCCTCCTGGGTTTCTATTCCTTTATCACCTCTTTCTTCCAAGGTGAGAATCTTCAGGAAAAGGGAAAATGCCTTTACAGTTCCCAGAGCCACACAAATGCCCCCAGCCCTCTCTCACTTTTGGCATTCCCATGTGTGGAACAGCTGGTGGTACTGCTCTGCTGGTTGTGCCCTTGCCACAGGCCTGTCTGAGCTCAGCACCACTCGTGCAGAATGCACGGCAGCAGCTTCATTAACATGGAAAGGTGGCTGTTTGCAAATATCCCAGGTGCTTTTTCCCTCCTAGAGCTGCCCCATTCAGGCACAGATCCAAGGGCTCTGGGAGCAGCAGAGGCCTCATCTCAGGGCCGATCTGGACACAGATCTGTGCCTGGCAGCACTGCCCTGCCCAGGGGGGAGCTGCAGCAGCCGTGTCCCACTGCACTGGTTCAGCCCACACCACTCACTCACTGCTCAAATGCTTCTGCACAAGAGCTGGAGAGCCCTGAAGATCTGGGAGCCTGCAGTTTGCTTACCTTCAGCTGATAAAAGTCATCTGTCCCGTCCTTTCTTGCCAAACACTGAACAATACTTGGCACAGGGGAGTTACCTAAACGTGGACCTACAGCATAAAGCAGAAACAGACTTGTTTTCCCTCCAACAGCAGTGACTAAGCCGGGTTACATCAGCTGTCACCTTTTTTGGTTTGCTTGCAATAAGTTCCCTTTTTTTGCAGGAGCTTGAGTGCATTTTCACAAATCTAAAGCCAAAAATAAAAGGTCTTGAACTCTGAAACCTTTTGGGATAATGTTTCATTTGCAACTCGGAGAAACATTTATCAAAGCCCACACATGGCCCAGCTGTTTACAGAAATCCTAATTTCTGCATGCCTGAACCACACAGCTCTTACATTCACAGCAACACCCATGGCAACTGTTACTGCCACACCTGGGAACACAGCTGCCACCTCTGCAGGGATGGCTCAGGGGTGTCCAAATTAGCCCATATTTCAAGTTAACATAGAGTCTCCATTCCTCACTTTTAATCAGCCAGCTCCAATTGATTTCCCATTAGTTTCCAATGTGAAGTCTGTGATTTTTGACAATTTATGTAAGCAGTTCTGAACCAACAACTATTCTAGCAACTCCTCAGAGCTGGCAGAGTGGCCTTGCCTTGGCACATACTACTTTGAATGATCACTACTGAATTATTAAGTTGCCTCCGTGCTCATGTGACAACACATTCAGGTCAGCAGAGTCGAACATGTCCCCACAGCTCTAATCAAAAAAAACCCCAATGAATCTGGTATTTAACAAAGTTTAAGAACAGAGTTAAAAAAAAATTTCAAAAACCCAACAAAAATACCCAAAGGGGTAAAATCAAGATCACATATTTCTCTCCCAAGCCCTGCCTGCCTTGCTGCACTGGCATCTCACATCTCCTCAGCTTGGCCAGCAGGAGTTCCCAGGCTGCTGCTCTGCACTCTCAGGTAAGACCCTGAGTTACACACCTGCTTTCCTTCATTCCACAGTGCCTTTTATTTTCAGTTTTGCCACCTTGCCTTGCAGAGCCCCCTCCCTGCTTACCCAGGATGAAAGGACCTGCTCTCTTGGCGTTATTCCCAGAAATCCCCGCGCACAGAGCCTTTGCTTTAGCGGATGTTTCCCCAGCTCCTCTGTCTGATGCTCGCCGCTTCATCCTTGGCTCTTGAAAGAGAAGAGAGATCACATCTGATGAGCCACCAAGTTATTTTCTCTTGTTATCTCTCATTTCTACTGGAAGGCTCTCACTTATGGATTCACTGGTGGCTCTGCCTACTTGTGTGTCTACACACAGCCCTGGCTCCCTGCTGACAGACCAGGGGTGGGCTGCAGGCTCAGAGCAGCTCTCAAGGCATAAATCAGCCTCGTTATTCAGGGCAACATTTCCTGCAACAGTTGCTTGAGAGACATAGTGGGAACAAGTCAAGATAATTAAAGCTTGTTTTACAGCAAAAACAAGTTTGCAAATTAACATATTCCGAAAGAAGATGCCCAAGTTAGCCCTGTGTATGGGTGTCTGCTGCTGCTGCAGCCTTTTGGGGTTCCTCCACAGAGGATCCACACCACGCATCACAGCCACCCTCTGAGTCCCTCAGAGGCTCCAGTCTGTTCCTCAAACAGCCAAGAATGCACAAAACTGACCACAAAAATTAGTATCTTTCACCTTTCCCAACAAGGGCATAGAAAACAAGCACAATAGTTATTGTGAGATTCAGTTCCGTTCACAATGATTTTTCAAAACGTATTTTTAGCCTTGAAAAAAAGTCTCCTCTCTATACCTTGTTAGGCTCTGAACTTATTACATCTCCATCTACCTACATCCAGTGCAGCTGGAATTTGGAGTCCAGCACATAAAACGCTGTCACCTCAGCCTCCACATGCAGGAATCAATGCTGTATTTACAACTAACACACAATTAAATGCTCTAATGGACATTCTAGTGAAAGGCAATGATGGTGACAACACGTGTTTTCCTGCACCATCACTATGGGCAAAAACCCATTTGATCTATTAAATGTCAATCTCCTGGTTTGCATCCAGGAATTTATTCAAGATCCACACATCACCACTCTTCAGCACCAACAACTAAAAACTCAACTACCTCCTCCTTATTCAGGTAGTGCAGAAAGTCTGATTTCCAATGTCCATTTCCTGCTGCTCAAAAATCTAGAGAATTTGGGTCAGTATTGCACAATCAAGACCTAAAAGGCTAAATAAATTTAATGTTTATGACTAAAACACTTCCTTCTCAAAAGAAAATTGTTTCAGTTTAGCTTGAAAAGCACTTCTCAGGTGAGCTGCTGGGTGTGGTGTGAGCTCTCCACATCCATCAGCTCCAGCCAATGGAAGCTCTGCTCCCCGTCCAACTCCTCTTCATCTCTAGCTTTTGGAAAATAGCTTCAAAGACTTCCACAAACATCTACATTTAATGTCTGTGCTCCCACTTTCTAAAGATACTTTGTGGAGTAGGTGAGAAGAGGAACCAAGCACAGCTCCATTTCCTTACTCAAACCCAGGCCCAGGAGTTCTTCCCTAAGAGATTACTATAACAGGAGAAAAAATTTTTTGGGCTGTACATATTTGTTTTAGAAGATCCTGGGTGTTTCACCGCATGAGATTGATAAATCACCTCCCTGTAAGTGAAGTTCACCCTGTGGCAGTCCCGCCCTTTCTGTGGACACAGGCTGATCTCACTGCATTGATTCATCCAGCAGCACCTGTCCAGGAGCAGCAACAGCTAGGAGATAAAGGGAGGAGTCTTGCAGCAGACTTTGCATCCCTGCCCTCCTGACTCCCAGCACCTTCACACCTCCACAGGGCAGTGTCACCATCCCAGCGAGCTGAACAGGACACAGTTCTGACCCCCACGAGCTCCTTGCTCTGTTCATTCTGCATCCCTGACCCAATATCCTTATGAACTCCTCCTCTTCTTGTACATCACCACCTCTTCTGGAAACATATGAGTAACATTTCCACTGGAGAAACCGCCTGCACAGGAGCTCTGAGATAAACTCGTTGTGCAATCTGGCTTGCTGGTGCAAATGGAGTTACTGTAATCAAAACAACCTGAGGACTCACGTAGTTCAGCATCAACTGTATCGTTACTCTTCTTCCAAACTAGGTTTTCCAACGTCTCAGGAGGCAGGAGTCATCACCTTGGAGAAGGCTGGATGGACAAAAGGTCGAGGACTCTGTAATGTGGAATGAAATACATGTGATGTTGCAGTTCTGGATTATTCTGATGATGATAACACAGGATGCACTGAACCTTTAGGGCCCCCAACATCTCTGCTTGGGCTCAGAAAAGGATTGAAGCTCCTGTTATCATGTGAGAGGTCTCTGGAAGTTCAGTCCCTGCACTGCAGGACAAACTCCCATGTCACTCATCTCCAAACTGATGCAGGACAGGTCTTTGGTGCAGGGACAAACACAGGCTCCATTTCAGCCCTCACCATGCCACACCTGCCTGGGCTTAACGCATCTCAAACACAGCCAACTGAGCACCAAGAGACTCCTTGCCACCACCAGCAGCTTTTAATCACACTAGGAGTTAACAGAGTTTAGGTCAGAGAAGTATCTGATACCACTGTCCCTGGGATGAAGTGTTTTAAACATGGGTTTGTCCTGGTTCCTTGCAGGAATGTAAGAGGTTCTCTCTCTAGACTGATCCTACTGATGATTTTTTCTTTTCAGTTTTAAGAACTGGAAAGTCTCACCTGTTTGTGGACAGATGCATCCCTTCCCCCCAAATCCAAACTGAATGAAAACACTCTCCTCCCTTGTCCTGCCATTGGAACAAAAATGGTCCTTCACACAGACAAAGTTACAAGTCAACAACAGAAATTTATACTTAATTCTGATGTGACATGTGGGATGTATCAAACATCTCACGGGAGAAGCCAGCCCAAAGCATCTCACTGTGCTAGCTACGGCTTTAATAGAATTATGAATCAATTAATTTGGGGACCTAAATGTAATGTCTTTTAATTAGGTAGCTTAAGGAAATTGTTTAATTCCTGAATTACTGCATGTCCCAGTGCCCAGAGTAACAACAATGAAAAACATGAGATAAGGAAATTTCCCTTTTCATCCCAGACTAAGGAACAAGCAGGTCCTGCAGTCCAGCAGCCAGAGCTCAGAAAAGGAGCTGGAAAAAGCACCTTTGGGGTGTGAGCAGGATTACTCAGCAGCACAGAAACCACTCACGGCTCCAGAGCAGTTGATCCAGTCCTCACTGCACTTTCAGGGGTCATGTCTTGCACTAAGGACACAACACAAGCTCAGTGGTGGTTACACTTCTTGTGTGAGGATTGGGAACCTCAAAAGTGCTCGACCCCACTGCTGTGATGAGTAGATTGTGGTGAATAAGGCAGTGGATGAGCTGGCAACCAGCAGCAGGTGACAGAGACCAAGAGCACCTGCTGAGAACAAGCTCCTTTGAGGAGCTCACATGATTCCAGGGACCTGCCTCCCACTGCAGCAGCATTCCAGTCAGTCCAGCATGCCCTCCTGAAGCCAAAAGCTGTAGCATTTGGGATAAAGCTGGAGAGCTGCTCCACAGGTTTTGACCCTCTCTGTGCAGCCATGAGCAGCATCAGGCTGCACCTTTTCCCACCCAAATACCACAGTGGGCAGTATTTATCAGTTACAGTTAATCCAAGGTCACATTTAAGCCTGGCTCATGGGAAGCTGTGTTGGACATGACCTAAAAACTTCCATGAACAAAACATTAAAGGGGTAAAAGCTGGAGCACGGCCCAGCTTCCCACATGGAACACCAGCAGGTCGGTGTCACTGCAAGGAGCAACGATCCCAGTGTTGCCTCACTCCTTCCCGGGCAAACCCGGCCAGGAACAGCTCAGACCCGAGTCATCAGCACTCCCAGGGACAGAGCCTTGGCTCTCATTGGAAAAGCTTCCCTGAGAACAGGCGGAGTTTGGATCAGGCAGGCCTGCGGAGGAGTCACTGGCTGGGGGATTAAAGGGAATGTTTGTGTGTCAGATCCTAAGGAAAGCAGGCTGTTGCATTAAGTGTAAGAAATTTCGTCAAAAACACACCCCTTGTGTCCCAGCTGGTCCTCAGAGACCAGGAGTGCATCCAGAGACCTCGAAGACTAAGAAGAGATCATCACACCCTGGGAGCAGGGAGAAGACAGTCACCCATCAAATGTCTCCAAGGGCTTTTTAGCTTTTCTTCCTCCTCAAAAGGCAGAATTTCTGCCCCCCTCATCCACAGCCCACCCTTATCCTCTTCCTCCCACGTCACACACAGCATGATCTAGGGGGGAAATTGAGCAAGAGAGTCATGTGTGGTAGCATGTACTTCATTAAGCTGACGTGAATTTTAATATTTAAATGACCCTTAATCAGGCAAAAGTTACTTTCCGGACATAGTGTCCTTCAAAGTTTCAGTCACAGGACTTTTGTTTTCTTCTTCAGCGCCAAACCAGGCCCATCCTGTCTGTGCTGTCCCTCTTCCTGCAGCCAGCTCAGCCTTCTCGACATCAGCCAGGAACAATTTCATCCCTTAAGATAATGTTGAATGCACAGGAGAAGCCTCAGCCCTTCCCTGGCTCCTTGCTCATCATCTCACATGGGCATGTGAGGAGGAGAAGCAGGGGCATCAGGGTGGGCTCCACTCCTCTCCCTCTGCACAGCACGAGGGAGATTCCCTGTGCAGGAATGTTAACATTACTGAAGGCTCTGGGAGTTGAACGGTTCTCTAAGAGAAGCAATAACATATATATAAAAAAAGCCCATTGGATGACTCAGTCCAGCCTGTGTTCCGCTGCGCTGCCCTTCCGGGAAGGGAAGCCTGCTCCCGAAACGGAGCCCTGACTCACAGGGTTCTTGGAACTGAGCAGAGACTCATTCAACTTCTTCCCTAAGCGAGAAGTTCACTCAAAACCAGGCACAGAGTTTCTCTGCCCACAGGAGCAGGAAGAATCCTGGGGCACTGGTGCAGCATGAGGGGCTGGAACAGCCCTGTGCTGTTGGAAGGCACCCAGGGAGGTCTGGGCTCCCTGAGCTCTACAAGCTGGGAGACAGGAACATCTCTGGCAGCCTCTGCTGAACCACCCCACTGGAGATCCTCCTTCCTCAGCCCAACATGCACATCAGCTGAATCCCAGGCACAGCCAGCACCTGGGAGCCCCTACAGGAGCTCGGCACACCTTACCTCCACCCACATCCAGCTATGGTCAGTCTTCAGCTCTTCAGGGACAAAAAAGGCTTCCACAGTCACACATCAGGGAAAGCAAATTCCATCCCAGCTGCAGCCCCAGGAGCCGGGGAAACTCTGAAGCACAGGGTTCCAGTGCGTAATTACGGCGCAAGCAACAAGCCAGGCTTTCTTCAAGCCCTTCTGATGCATCAACACATGAGATAGCCAAGGACTCATCTCTGGGAGTTCCCTCTTCGGTTACATAAACACCAACCTCAGCTTAACCCTTTCGTGCTGAAGCACAGGCCACATCCACCAGGATTTTTTCCCATTTCTGCCCAACACCCTCACAGCAGGAGCCTGGAAATGCAGCTGCAGCACTTGAGGCTGCACCGCTGCCCCAGCACGAGTCCCTGACCTGATCTGTGCCTGTGGTCAGGCCGTGCTCACCTTCCAAAGCCCACCAGGGGTGAGGTGTGGGTTGTATTACAGGGTTTTATTTCTCATTTATTGCTTCTGACACTATCAATATGCCATAAGCCCCTGAGCAGGACCTCTGTGTGCACAGAGTACAGTGTGACCCACACACGTGCTGACACTTCCCAGCGAGGTGTGGCTGCAGTTTCTCACAGCAGTGACTCACCTGGCCCTACCTGGAGACAAATCTGTTGAAGTTACCTGCACACACTGCCAGGCCTATGCTACTGAGCTTTGCAGTGTGACAGCACACTGACAGGAACTGCATAGTCAGGAAAAAATATTAACCAAAATAGCCTGTTTCACACAGAAAATGACCACAGACACACAGAACCTACTCTGTCCAGCAAGAGCTCACAGGCAGGAAGGAGACACACACTGTACCTGCCCAGAGCACCTGGTGTCTCTACACAGCTAACAACCCCTTGAGCTCAGTGGGCAGCTCAGGCACAATCCCCAGGGCTGTCCCTATTCATAGTTACTGAACAGTTTGGGTTGGGAGGGACCTGAAAGACCCTTCCTGGGCTAGGACACCTTCCCAGGGAGCTCCAAGCCCTCTCCAACTTGGCTGGAACACTTCCCGGGATGGAGCAGCCACAGCTTCTCTGGGTAACCTGTGCCAGGGCCTCTCCACCCTCACAGGGAAGAATTTCTCCCTAATATCCCATCTAACCCTGCCAGTGTAAAGCCATTCCCTTTTGTCCTGTCACTTGAGGCTCTTGTAAATAATCCCGGTCCATCTTTCTTGTAGCCCATTCAGGTACTGGAAGGGGCAGTTATGTCACCCTAAAGTCTCTCCTCTTCAGGTTGAACAACTCCAATACTCTCACAGTAGAAGTGCTCCAGCCCTCTGATCATCTTGGTGCCTCCTCTGGACTCGCTCCAACAGGTCGATGTCCTTTCTGTGCTGAATCACAGCACAGCTTGGCGGCTATGAGGCTTCCCTTGCCTGTTCCAATTTCTGTAACATCCTGAGGGTCACAGCCCACAGCTGAACTTTGCTTTTAAGGAATACAATTATGTGATCAAACCCTCAGCATGGTTACCATAGAGAAACAATCAAAGGATGCAGCATGAGCCCTCCAGCAATGGGGAAATATGTCCTGAACCCTGACTGCTGCCAGCCCAGGGCTCCGTGCCAGTAGGTGAGTGCTGTCCCTCGGGTCACACCTCACCTGGGTGCCAGGCACCTCACCTGTGCCCCACTGTGTCCCTGCTGCCTCAGAGAGCTGGCTGTCCCGCAGCACATGACAGAGGGGTGGTGCCTCAGCCCCACCATGGGCAATGGCCCCTGCTCCGATTTCTCCAGCTCCCTCTGGACATGGGATTGCAGCCCGACACCCCCAGCACACCTGTTCATACAACACATGTTACTGAGCCCATACATTAAGGCTCTAAACTAGCAAAGAACTGAATCCCCAACATTGGTGCAGCACATTTCAGCACAGCCTGGGCAGGTGGGAGCAGCTGGGTGGGCACGTGAGGAACCCTAAACCCCCGTGCCAGGGGGTGAAGATGCCATCCCATGGGATCCCCCCCCAGCAGTGAGACCTTTCACACCCTCAGTACTGCACAGGCAGCAGGGTTCCCAAAGGCCACGACCAGAGAGGGACAGCACCCAGCTCTGGGGGTGGGAGGTCCCCCAGCTCCCTCAGCCCCTCGGGTGAGCTCCCATGAGAGTGCAGGGCAAGGTCCGTTCCTAGTTCCAACACCTGCTGATGTTACTCACCCTCACTCAGAGGCACAGCCCTCACCTACTCACTGCTGAGGCACACGAGGCTCCTCCTCGGCACAGAGGTCCCAAAAGTCTACATTCAAAGGTTCCTGCCCAGACTGGAGGTAAAACCAGCCCCAGTCACGGGCTGTGCCTCCTTCTGCCCCCCGGACCTACCCCCGTGCTGGCAGCAGCGCCCCAGCCCCCCGAGCTGCTGCCGGGCAGAAAAGAACGAACGAGCGATTTACCAAGGGGCCTTTCCAACGCCAGTCTCCCAGCCTGGAGAACACCGGCACCGAGCCGAGCCGGGTCACCAAGTCTCCCCCTAAGCCGGCGGTACCTGGGGGGCTCCCACGGCCCGGTCCCATCGAACGATCGGTACCACCGGCGCGTCTCCCCGCAGCGCCCGGCCCGGATACGGTGCCCGACTGCCCTCTCGCACGGTGGGACGGGGATGGTGACGGGTCCCGGGGCCACGTCCCCCATGCTCAACCCTGATCCCTGCTTCCCCCTCATTCACCGACGGCCCCCGTTCCCTTGTCTCTCACCCATATCCATGGCCCCGATCCCGCTTCCCCCCACTCTCTTTCATTCTCCTCACTCAGTCACGACCCCAGCCCCGATCCTGGTTTCTCTTTCACCCCTCACTCATCCACGGCCGATCCCGCTTCCCCCGCTCTCTCACACCCCTCACTCATCCATGGCCCGGCCCCGGTTCCCCAGCTCTCTCACACCCCTCACCCATCCATGGCGATCCCGCTTCCCCCCGCTCTCTCACACCCCTCACTCACCCATGGCCCCGGGCCCGGCCCGGCCCGGCCTCGCTCCGCTCCGGCGGCCGCCAGGCACCGGAAGTGACGCACCGCCACCGCCCCCCACCGCCAGCCCGCCCCCTGCCGGCCGCCGCCGGGACGGGGAAACGGCGGCGCCGATTGGGCGATGGCGACAGCGCGGGCAATGATTGGAGGAGAGCGCGGGGGCCGGACCGGCTTTTGCGGCGAGCTCTGATTGGTTGCGGTGCGCAGCAGAGCTGGTCCCTCAGCGGAGGGTGATTTGCTGTGGTGCGATGACCCCATCGCTGATTGGCTCAGGCCGAGGCCAGGAGCCGTGGGAGCATTAGTGAACACGCGGGAGATTTGAACGCGCCATGATTGGCCAAGGGGCGGGGCACGTAGAGATGGCCCCGCCCACAGAGCCCCGCCCAGCGGCACTGGGACCCCCGGGCTGGGAAATTCTGGGTTTGGACCCACAGACTGGGACACCCTGGGTTCGGTCCCCCCGACTGGGAGTTCCCGGACTGGGACACCCTGAGTTTGGAACCCCAGGACTGGGATCCCCTGGGCTGGAACCACAGAACCCCGTGCTCTGAGCCCCGGGCTAGAACCGGCGAGGTTGGAACCCTTCGGGCTGGGCCCCCCGGTCTGCCCTGTGCTGCTGCCCAGCCCCAGGCCCGTGCAGACAAGCACCCCCTGGGCACAGCCTCCCAGCTCTGCTTGCAAGGGCCACCCAGCTCCCTGTCCCAAGAGGTTCCTGTGGGAACAGGTTATGGTGGGCTGCAGACTTTGGTCACCAGAGTTTATGGTGATGGAGAGGCAGGAAACAGAGGAGCTGGCAGTACCAGCATCCTGTGTCCTGGGTGAAGTACGTTTCTGCTTTTTGAGGCAGATGGTGCTGCTCCTTCCCCTGTATGTTCATTCCCCTTCATCTCACTCTCTTCTCCCTGAACACTTCCAGAACAGCGGCTCAGCAGGAAGCTGAACACAGAACCAGCCCCTGTCCAGTTCAGAACCAGTGGCTCCAGCTCCCAGGGTAGCCATTCTGGTGAAAGCAAATCCTTTGCTCGGTGGGAAGGTAAAGGCTGAACCAGGGGCAGTGGGATGGCAGCAATGGCCAAGAGTCCTTTGGCCACTGGAGGAGGGACATGAGTAGCTGCCAATGGAACAGGAAACGAACACAGAGACCACAGAGCATTTAAGTGGTGTTATTCACTACAAAAAACAGTCCTGCTCCTCTGCAGGCACCGGTGGAGGGAACAGCAGAGCCCTAAGTCTCTTGAGGAAAATGTTCCTGGGGGATGGTGTTGGGCAGGGTGGCTGGCATGGAGGGGGCTGGCAGTCCATCAAAGGGGCACGTCCATCCCAGGCCCATTCTGAGTCCATCCTGGCTGCTGCAGGCAGCACCAGGTCCTCACTTGTGCTTGGTATGAAGGAACTCCCTGCGGCCCTTGTCACGACCCCCAAAGTACCGCACCCTGTGGATGGCCTGCAGCTGCTCCTCGATGGTAGCCCGGATGTCCACCTCGTCAGGGATGTGCACGTAGCGGATATTCCTGCCGGTCACAAAGAGCTCGTCCAGCTGGGACACGGCGCCCTGCCTGTCCGTGAAGGTCACCTCAGCCAGGCGCACGTTCATGAAGGCGTCCACGCTGGTGACGCGCCCCGTGGCCGCGCTCTCGTCACGCAGCTCCACGGTGGTGACGCGGCCGCACAAGCCCTGCAGCAGGATCACCAGGCTGTTCTCGGCGATGGTGCGCTCCTTCACCGAGTGGCTCACCTCCATGGCGGCTGCGGTGACACAGGGAATGCTCTGGGGCTGAGGACATCCACCCGCTGTGCCTCACACACACCAGTCCTTCTCATGGGCCAACCCCTGCACATTCACCTGCCCACGGGCCAACCCCTGCATAAACACCTGCCCACGGACCAACCTCTACACAAACGCCTTCCCACGGATCAACCCCTGCACAAGCACATGCCCACGGACCAAGCTCTGCATAAACACCAGCCCACGGATCAACCCCCGCACATTTGCCTGCCTACGGACCAACCCCTGCACGAACACCTGGCCATGGACCAACTCCTGCACATGGACCTGCACATGGTCGAACCCTGCATGCTCATCTGCGACTGGAGCAGCCCCTGAACATTGCCCCGCGCAGGGACCAAGCCTTGCACACAAACCTGCACACTGTACCAAACCTCAAAAGCTCCCTTGCACACACACCACCTGTCATACGCCCACGACCCCTTTCACACTTACCTGCACTCGTACCATTCCTTGCACTCCCACCACCCCTCGCACACCGTCCTTCTCCCCAGTCACTCCCATTCCCCTC